TTATAACTAACGTCCACCAAGTCATTCTGATCTGATGTGTATGTAGACTATCTCTGCTGCATGTAACCAGCCAATCGAAGGACATTATCATCCTATTATATCAGTGTGACTCATAATTTCTGTTCACTTCGATAAGACACACAATACTGGTAAGTATTTTTGTGCGTTCTACTTAATGACTATAATTCCTTTAATTACTGTACTAATGAAATTGATATTTATACGTTGACAAACAGATAAAGTTTGAAGTTGAGTTTTCTCTGTTCTTACCATAGATTTCACGTAGACTATGGGAACACCAGTATCGCGTTTACAGTTCTAGTAGAATATGTGTAGGACAAATGAAACCTTACAAAGATTCTTCTTGGAATGGACTAGATAACAATGATATCTGAAGCTTTAGAACTATCAAAGAGAATAATATTAAGGTTTGATGGTAATCTCATGAACCATTGGAGTTTCATACGGAATTTCAGAGACTATTACGGTGAGAGTGTTGTATTCCGGTCTAGATTAAACTATTTGACACAGTATTGTGATACTGAAGCTAAGTCTACCATTGTTGATTGTGCCTTGCCCGAATCGGAAGATGGCTGTCGTAAGGCTTTATAGCTTCTTGGGGCAGCATTTGTTCCGACGCATATCGTAGCCCATGCATCTATTGATAAGATGCTGAAAATCTCTAGTATTGAGGGGACTAATCCAGGTAATTTAAGAAGACAGCAAATGAACAGTTCTGCATTGACGATTTATTAAGCAGTGCTGACAAGTTAGAAGAAGCTAAATTAATATATTTTCAGATGAAGTGTTATGTTAAGGGGGTCTTAATCATAAAAACTGAGCCAGAAAGTATTGGATTAATGAAGTATAATCCAACGAAAAACTGCGTAGAAAGAAAGGTAGACATTTGTTTAACTATGAAAAGAAACGAAAGGGCTCTAGAAAAAGATTGAAATACCTGAACGGTTAAGGTCTGCTTCATAGTGCGTGAGTTGGAAACGACCCCTTGCCAGCGGGATATACATTTGATTAAATCATGCTCCATGCACGATTGCGTTGGTGTGCGCTGACTGATTAACTCTTATCTATTCGGCGCTAGTCGATACTTGGAGAACACTCTAGAATATTCTCATGTAAACACTATAAATATACTGACATTTTTCTCAATGTGATTCTTACTTTCATCTAACCTTGTTATTTGGGACAAAATTTCTTTCCTGTTTAAACGGGTTCTGATTTTGGGAACTTTTCGAGTGAATTGGTATCCAAGAGTACTAAACAATAGGAATAGATGAGTTGTAACAAGAGAGAATTAAAATAGTGGCGACGAGGAGGAAGGAAAACAAATCCAAGATGCCCATATCCGATGATCAGCTCAACCGAATACTACAGCAACAGCAAGCGCAACTAGATGCACAAATGCAGTTTTTGAAGACTCTGGCTCAACAGATCAACATCCACTGCTCGAGTTCACATACCATTTCAAGTACGTCTGGTGATACAGTTGCTAGCAACATCTCAGAATTCGTCTGTTACCCCGAAAGTAGAAATATTTTTCTCACGTTGTTCAAACATTGGGGAGATACATTTGGAATAGAATTCTGTAAACAAGACGACGCATGGAAGACTCGATTGTTGATAGGTAATTTGGGAAGCAATAGACATGCACGTTATGCTGACCATACATTGCCAAAGTTCCCTCGGGAGCTTAGTTTTGAAGAGATGATACATCAATTCGGTGAATCTTCCTCGTTATTTAATATTCTTTATCAGTGTCCAAATTCACCGAAACGCAAAGCCGATGAATAAAGTGCTTTAGCAGACGCCGTCAACAGAGTGTGTGAACGGTCCAGGTTACGCTAGTTGGCAGAAGACCAATTTAAGTGCTTAGTATTCATCAAAGCTCTTCAGTCACCACAAGATGGTGAGAGCAGGACTAGATTTTCTACTCCACTGGATCAGAACCCAAACGTCACGCTCAGGAGATTGACAGATGAGTCTTCCTTCAACGGAACTAACTATACGGGAATATGTTACCAAACAGGAAGGCCAAACCTTGATCTTCTTGGAATAATGGATCTATCCATTAATATTGTCTGCAACGTGTTCATCATTCGACACCCCAGTACTTGCAAAGAAGACAGATGATAGTTTACTTGAAAAAACTGGGAAGAAAGTTTGCCTCTGTTTTCAGAATAGCATCGGTCACTGCATCAAGATGAAAGCTTACTTACCATTGAAACCAGATACTAAACCTATTTTTAGTCCAAGACGTCCTGTACCATATATTGTTCTTGAGCTAGTCGATCAGAAACATAGTCGTTTGCAACAAGCTGGTGTAGTCCATCCGGTCAACTATTCTGCATGGGCCGCACCGATCGTAGTAATTAAAAAGGTCGATGTATCTATACTCATATGTGCCAATTTCTCAACCGGTTTAAATGCTGCATTCGATGTATATCAATATCCGCTACCAGTTTCTGAAGACCTGTTTACCAAGCTTAATGGTGGAACATGTTTCGTGAAAATAGACTTCTCCGATGCTTATCTGCAAGTGGAAGTAGTTGAAGATGGTAGAGAGCTTTTGACTATAAACACTCATCTAGGATTATTTCAATACACCCGTTTACGATTTGGTATCAAGACCGCACCTGCCATGTTCCAGCAAGTAATGGATACGATTCTAACAGGCATACCTGGTACACCGGCTTATCTAGATGATATCATAGTTATGGGTTCAACTGATAGTGAACTTTCTGACCGACTACATCAAGTCCATAACCGAGTGTTGGAATATGGTTTCCAACTACGTGAAGGAAAGTGTATCTTCTTCATGCATTCGATCAAGTACCTTGATTTCATCTTAGATAAGAACAACATAGATAAGCCAACATCGAAGCCATTCCGAAGATGCCTGCACCAACTAATGTCTCTTCATTAAGGTCTTCCTGGGGGTAATTCAGTCATTGCAGCACATTCTTGCCTGAAACGCATCGAGTGAGAGGTCCCTTGTAAGAAGTACTGTCAAAAGATGAACCTTGTCAGTGGTCAACATAATGTTAAGCATCTTTTGACAGAGTCAAAGCAATGCTCAGCTTATGACTTCTTTTGACACACTTCGATCCCGTCTTGGGAATTGTTGTTGCACCTGATGCCTGTAGTCATGTTTCCGGACAAAGGAAAGACAATTGCCTATGCTGCTAGCCGAGCAAAACTACGGTCAAAATGAAAAGGAAGCTCCTGCAATCATTTTTGCTGTCAAAAGAGCTCATCAAATGCTCTATCGTCGTATTTTTACTCTACTGACAGATCAAAAACATTTAATTACAATCATTGGTTGTAAGAAATGAATCCTTTTCTATACAGCCAATAGATTACATCGCTGGGCAAGAATGCTCATGAGCCATGATTTCAGTATCAAGTATCAGTCGAAAAATACTATCAGTCAAGCTAACGTTCTCTCTCGATTCATTGGAGGTCACCATCCTGGACCAGAGGACATAATCATTGCTTCCACAGTAGTGGATCCAGAAATACGGAGTAACGTAACGGATGCCATTCAAAACACCACAGTGTCGTCAGATGAATCAGAGAAGAAACCTTTCAAGACCCAATCGTACAAGAAGTAAGAAAGTTCCACCTAGAAGATCAGTTCAACAGTGCTTCAAATGTTTTACCAGCGCAGACTCTCTCTCGATCATATATGACCGTCTGTTGTTCGTTGAATGAGTCACAATCCCAAATAAGCTACTACCAGCAGTGCTTGAAAATCATTGAATAAATCGCAGGAAATCACTAGCACGAAGTTATGCATAGTGACACCTAACTGAATCAGCCTTCCTGTTCGTTTACTAAATGTGCATTGGCAACATAAGCAGAGCGAAATGTGGAGCTGCAATCGTGGCCAATACCACACTCACTATGGTAGCGTGGACTTTCCTGGCCAACTTCATGGACAAACGTACCTTCTGGTAGTTGATGCATACAGCAAGTGGCCAGAATATCTTCTCATGGAACACCCAACTGCGAGCAGCATAGTCAGTAAACTACGTCAACTATTCAGTCGTTTCGAGGTCCAGGAATTCGTAGTTAGTGTCAATGGAACACAGTATACGTCCGCTATCTTCTCACAATTCTATCAGAAGAACGGAATCCATAGCATAGAAACATTTCCATTCCATTCACAATCCAATGATCAAGGCAAACGCTGTGCTAGTACATTTAATAAAGTTCTAAATAATTCTAAAGGTGAGGGAACCACTGAAGAGATCTTACAGAGGTTCTCCTTACTTATCGCTCTACGCAGAATCCTCAGATAATTACCTAGGTCCCTCCAGCAGAAGCTCTATTTTGCAGAAAAATACGAACACATTTCGATATCATCCATCCTACGCCAGCTCTTGGGCCACAACCAAACGTATCGATATAGTAGCAGTTCAATCGACCTCATGGGGCACAAAGATGATTGCTCACGGTGGGTCAAAAAGTACTTGCTATAGCTATGATCGTTTAGCAGTAAATCTCCCAACTCAAAGCAACCTATGAATTATTCTAATTCAAGCAATTACTGGATCAAATTCCACGTGGACGAATTTCTTCATGGTTTTCATTGTCTGCTTATTAGGTCTAAATGCATTTCTGTTATAGCTAGTTTTTTATTGTGCTTGCCGTTTTGGATTTGACGAGCTTTTCAACTTAAGCTTATGATTATCTGGTGTGGAACCATTTATTATTTATATCCACTCATATATAACTAATCCAAAACAGTTTTCTTACTTTCATCAACTGCAATAGCGTCATTTCAGCGAATCTGAGACTCAGACCTACACAATCGATAACACATCATCTTACCAAAATAATTTCAAATATTTTCCATACTCTGTGCTGATGATAACTGATTGCTGAACAAATGCATAATACTTGCAAGAGATATCTTTGCTTTCAGTGGAATATTAAATGTTACGCTATATCGAAGTACTATGAAAAATAAGTATCAATTTGTACAGAACACATTTCTATTTACAAAACAGATGAAAATATGAAAGAGATAAAGCGATACACGAATGAACTGAGATTAAATATAATATGTGGATGAAGTTAATATACTTTTGTGAAAAAGAAAAAGATATAAGGAAATTATTGGAACATTGAACCGCTGGACCTAAACAAAACTGTAATCGATCAATACAGAAATATGCAATTCGCACACTAATCGAACATTTGTCATCTATGTACACATATATGTATATTAGATCTGTTCTGTTGGCTAACTTTCTGAACTATTGAAGGTGACAATCGTGATATTTCAGCAGAACTACTACTACTATTACTAGTAGAATTATTTGTAGCATATATTTTTCTGAATACTTTTTTTGGAAAATCACTGATATGTGCACGCCATAAATTATACAAACCAAATAGAATACGCACAAACATATATCGAATCATACAGAGAATCCATCCAGTTACACACAATACACTGTTACCGAAATGCATGATACAATGTTTACAAAAATAGCAAACTACTATAAGTAGTATAGTGATGCATATAAAATTTATGTTATAAGATATATACAAATCAAGTTGTATAAAGTCATTAATAGATTGTAATAATAATTTCGGTTTGTTAATTAACAATGAATTCTTATCAGATGATAGAATTGAAGTAAATGAATGACAATAATGAGTAGTGTATAATTTTTTCGATGGATTATATAATTCTACTGGATAGAGCAATAAGCGCTGTGGATGATAAAATGATCTGGAAAATTTCACAGAAAAATTATTATTTATTTAAACATTGAACAGTCAAAATTAAAACTGCAATGACGAAGTTGTGGTAAGTCAAATATATTACAGTAAACAAATCCAATGTTCGTATGACAGTAAATCCTAGATAGATCCACTGTGTTCTAACTGGTTTAGCAGATCTAGTGATGCGAGAAGTAATTTTCGTCTGATTTAGCGGCTTATCGGATTGATGTACATAAATTTCAATGTATATAAATATTCCCATTTAGACTGCAACAAAGTAGCTATCATTTCAATCAGGAAATAAGTTATCGTTTAATCTAATTACTTGTTCAAAACGGTATGAAGAAATGGTCATTAAGTTTATGTAATTTTTCATGGTTGATATTTAAGTCCCAATGTGAACATAAACACTGCGATGCAGATACATACAAGAGTTGACGAGTCGCTAATGGGACGAAATGTGCATCTTGTAATTCACTGCTAGTTACATATACTAAACAATAAAATCTACAGATAGATGTCATGAGACAATATCAACAATAGAAAAATACAAAATCTCATATAAAGTTCAAATTATTTTAGAAAGTTAGAATTGTAGAACTCATTGATGAAAGGTACTTGTCAACATTGTTGCCTTATTTCAAGAGTAACGTGATTTATACTGCTAGGAATTAGAAATATTCATTATATGATCCGATATCTAGTCTGTTTATTAAAGTATAACTGAAATGATTTCAAAATTATCGAAGAAACTAAATGAAACAAATGACTTAATATTCTTGTCTATTTCTTTCAAGCTTAAGAGGACTAGAGAACATGACTGGAATAGAGTTAACACAATTCTCTCTTATCATATTCTATTAGAAAAGAGAGAACACAATTAATGAATAACTTCTAACTAATAGTGTTTTAACCCAGTCAACTATCTGCATTATTTCTTCAAAACAATATTGATGCACTTGATAGATAGGCACATTAAAATCTCAACAACAAAGAGAAATTCTGTTCTCGAAAATCTAACATTAAATATCCTATCCTTTTCGAAATACTTCCAGTGTTTGAGAATACGGTAAAAATGATTGTAGACGGCCTACTGGAGTATATCTACGCTACCTCTTCCCTCCATGTAGATATATATAAATAAGCGGCGTTTATGAGAAGTATACGACATTCCGCGGGACAAGTTACAGAACAGAACAATCAGAGATATTATGATGGTTGGCAATATGCATTGGAAAGAGTGAACATTATTCAGATGTTGAATGCTGAACTGCTAACATCTAACTGGACAGCACTCAGTATTCATCGTCAGGTTTGAACACGAAATAAGAGAGCAGGCTTGTTGAAATATTTTGTGCTTAGAAGTCTATCTTGCCAAAAATATAACATTGAATAAAACCAATAATAGTAGTAATGTCGTTGTTTTTATTGAAAAAAAACCATTGTGTGCGTTTGTGTTGATACTACTCGATATAGTTGATAAATTCATACAACCTTTAAAAAGAAACAACAATGATAATTCAAACTTACTCATTTGGTTCATCGTTATCTATCGATATGGGAGCTGTTGGAGCAATATAACATGATTTAACATAATAATAAGCTTCAAGTGGTAGATAACTAGTATTCAACGTAGATAAATTCCATTCCTTTTTTATCACATTACTATACAGATTCAATTGAGAATCTTGTAAAATAAAATCAGAACACAGAAGTACATAAACACTGATCAAATGAAAGCATGATTATAATGAAGATATATTCATTGTTAACGAGAACAATTAGGTGATGGTCAGGTTTACATAATGAAGTGAACAAAATCCTGATATTTTGGATAAAATACTTGTTCTTTTCTTGTTCTGTCATATGAGATAGGTCAGTTAATGAGCTATAACACTAAGAGCAATAAATCAAAGTCTACGGGTGAATCCGTACTATCGACTATACTAGTGTGACGTCAGTAAGATGTTTCCCTAAGCTGACCAACATTTGGAGAGATACAGCGCCTTTGCATAACAAGGAGGGTCAACCATAAAAAATATCATTTTGTGCTACTACCAAATGCTCACAGGTTAATGAGATTTCTTCCAATCTAATTGTTTTCTGGACCTTTATAAAATTCTTTCCGGAATGCCGGAATCTGGGTAGTGAGAAACGTCCACACACCTCCACAACCACACAAACCAACAAACTCTAGTGCAAACAATAACTAACTAATAAGAATATTTAACTCTAGATAAATGAAGAATCAAGGGTAACGCCGTTTAATATGCTTCAGTTTGATTAGTTGAATAACATTACATTGGTGTTCATATAGGAAATAAAGGGCAGGGTTTCAAACAATATAGAGAACTTAAGCAACAAAATATTCGATCACAGTCCAAACTACTCATAAAGTTGGTCCAGTAGCTAACCAACCCACACAAAAACGTTAAGTCAGTTGCTTCCAAATACGAAAAAAAACATATATTAGAAAAGGTAAATTGAACAAACTTTTTGCACGTAAAGGCGCTGTCAGTGAAGAATCAAACCAGACATCGGTATTCGGTGTAAACATTTGTTCAATTAAAATTCGTGGGACTCGTCCCATACTACTGGTTGAGAATTGAAGTAATGCATCTAACAGCCAAAAGCAATCTTTATTTACAGAGAGAAAAAAAGAAATAGAACATTTTAAACGATACATAAACACTGGAGATGAGCATTAGATACAACAGGATGAGTATGAAAGACGAAACTTTGAAGAATATTCCACAGCCACTTACCATTATATATGATATGTGTTTTACTATCCGTGTAAGTGACAATTAATTATATACCTACTGTTGAGTTTTGCATTGTAAATGACACAAGTATCTATATATCGGGAGTTCCTGTTTGTGTTATGTTGTTTTTTATGCAATTACGATATATTTTTGTAAGAGTTTTTAATTTTATATATATATATATATATATATATATATATATATATATATATATATATATATATATATATATATAGGTAGATCGATCGATAGATATATATATATATATATATATAGATATAGATATCACATGCTCCGAAATGCCCTGGTACGGTCAAGAGTGAGGAGAATCCGTACTTCATATAGAGATGCTCTCACATTATCGCGCATATATAACCATAGTCAGGGAAGTCCTAGTCTCTGACGTCTAGCATTAATAGTGTTGGTATTGTTTACAAAGTTAAGATAAAGCAAATCGAATGTTTGACACTTTAACCGGGATGGTGGATACAAAGATTCCATTTCGGAGAATCTTAAAATTCTCATTATAACCCAGATCCCGTGAATAATAAGTTATTTATTTGTCCACACTGTGGTCTATTCGGCTGGAAAGATTTAGAAATCAAAGTTATTCTGTTCTCATTAGAAACGTTTGAGTAATAAGAGCAAGAAAAACTAAGACTCGCTTCCTTTATTTTAATTGAGTCGTCCCAATACCATCAACATGAATGAGTTTGAGAATCATATAAAACAACTAATCACATTTCATTTTGAATCGTACACTTATTAACATGACATAAATTGTCCATTAAACAATACGCCAATACTTCCTATTTTCATTAATACTGGCATCTTGGATTGGAGATTGGTAGGTTGGTTGAGTGCGGTTCCAGTCAACACACTTCTTTTGCGAAAATAACAAATCAGGATTGAACAGTGAGAAATGAAAACACGAGGCACGTTATTTGGAGAAATAAATTATTTCCTATTCAAAGTTTTCGATAATATGTGCAAAAATATATGCAAAAAATGTCTACGATTTGTGTGCAATAAAATTCAGTTTGTTTATTAAACCTTTCCATTCATTTCAATTCATCCATCTGTACAGTAATCTAGTCGACCGCCCGGAGGGTATATCATATCGTCAATAAATCAGACCGTAGGAGATAACACTAGTGTTGTGAATTGCATATTCACATGGACTACTATATCAAGCATATTCATTTACTATTTGAGGTTAAATACTTATTTACATGTCTCTCTTTTGTTTTACCTCATACACACTAACTGTACACAAGGAATCATATATCTTTTCGTATACACAATTCCATTTCTTTTATTGTTATGTTTAGGTGAAAGAATCATGGAATATCAAAGGCTAAAATAACATACTTGAACTTAAATGCGTAGAACTTAAACAATCCGAATCTCCATAAATTGACAAACGTCCCACTTCACTAACTACATTTTCAACGATAGGAGTCCATAGACCAAGTATAGTTGGTGTCGGATCTTTATCAATTATTGGTTTTAAACGTAAATTAGGTTCAGAATCAACAAGAATTTTATCCACTTCCAATGATGTTTTTGATTCTGAATTTGAAAACATGGAATCGTGTTGAATAAACTGATCCCCAATATCGACCAGATTAACTTTTAATAGTACAGTTCGACCAGTATGATTAGCGATAACTTGATTAGGAAATTTTCTTAAACTGCTACCTGAATGATATGCAACTAGGAAAGAGGGAGAGCAGAAATTGATTTCACACAACCAATGTTAACAAAATGGCACATATTTAGTAATTTAATCAAACCGTGTTGTGATGAACATGTAATGTAGATTTGATTGAAATATATATTGTGGTGTATGTTACTTACATCTTTCAACGTCAGTAGTATGTAACACTAGTCAGAAGTGGAATGCATGGTAGAAGGCTTACAAGACCGAGTTAAAGAAAACAGGTGAATAGAAAGGAATCGCAAATTGAAGGAATCATATAGAATCTAAAAGTCAATTGATGGAAGAGTTGCAAGTGTATTACTTAATGTATGATTTGCATATTGTACGAAGATATTCTGTAATCTTGTATTAAACAATAAATTAGTTGTCCCCCACATGTGTTTTCGTTCATAGTAATATATATTGTTCTCAAACTACAATTTCAATGCATTCAGAACGTTGAAATATGCGTATGTATTATGTGAGACAACTAACTAATATATACATTTGTATAAGAATGTATTGAAACAATAAGTCAGTCAGTCAATCAATCACACATAGTGAAAGTATGTCAGTACGGACGTGTATAGATTGCTGAATTTCTCTAAGATATGAAAAAAGGACCTGTGATATCTCGCGAATTCTTAACCTCTAGATAACAATCTCACAAACACCATACTAGAAATTATCATGTACTCAGTAGCGACTAGCTTCAATAGGAAATTGCCTGAATCCCAATGAGAAATCGTGACCAGAGGATATGAGGCAATTAATAACCGAAGATAATAAATGATGGTTGTGCGGTATCGTGGATTGAATGAGGTCAGACATTAAAACCGGTGCATGCAAACCCACTGATCTACAGGTTATGCTATAGCGCGCGCAAGACTGAATGTGCCGTCCTTGATCCCTATGTGAGCGGTCGTGTATAAGCACTGCTGAGGAGTCCAGTAAAAAGAAGAAGCAATCGTCTTGTGCTTCCAGGTTTTCAATGATGATCTAAAATAGATCGCTTCATGATTTCAATGAAGAGGTATGTACAGAGCAATACAGTAACTGAAGACTTAGAACAAAAAGACTGGATATATCTGAGACGCTGTAAACTTCTCTAAAAATAGCTCTGTTTATGAAACGATTAGCTTTCACACAAATTCACCACTCAATAAGTACTTTTGTGCAACAAACATAAATGATGTTATCTGTGAAGAATAAAGCGATTCATTACTTTAATATTATGAAAATCACATAGTAGAAACAATTTTAAGACAGATTTTTAATCGTTGAATTCATGAGTCGGTTTAAACTGGACCACCATTTAAAATCTGGATGACCGTTCCGTCTCAGTATGGAACTCCTCAGCAGCGCACATCCTTGACCCCACATGCATAGATCGACCCCAAGGCGTGCGCTGCTGGATAGTCTCAGACGAGGACGAAACGGCCATCTACTGCTTCCAGATTTTTAATGGTGACCCAGCTTAAACCAACTCATGAATTCAACCATTAAATAAATTACTACAGTCTTCTCAAACTCGCCATTCTAATGAATTATCAATCTACAAAATGATAACGCAAATGTAACATGTATAATAATACGGAAATAAGGTTTTTCTTATGTGAACTCAATGAAATATCCTTGTATCTGCAAAATCTGCACTATTTTGTATTGTATATAAGTTTTGTAATTTGCTACATTCAAATAAAATTCTTCGAGGAGTTAAAAAAAAAGGATTGTAGTGTACTGATGCTGATAGGTATGCTGAAAGGTATTTCAAATATACTGTATGATAACGAGTGTTTTATCATGTTTCTTCCGACTTGAGAAACGTAAAATGTCATGTTAGCAAAATCTCAGCATGGATTATGGTCATTTGGTTAGGTGTTTCCACTCACAAAATACGCTTTATTACACTTTGTGGCAGTGTAATATGTATGGCCTTAAAAACTGGATAAAATGTGCAGAATACAAGTATTCGTTGGTGGATGTTTTTAATCAAATGAATGAAATCCTATCAATGAAGTTTTTATACGGCCAATAGTTTAAGTGACTCAAAATGAAATGCATGTTTTACAGTTGGATGGCTGCAATTAGTCGAGAGGACACCCTGAATCAATGTTTCATGCTAGTTGGTGCTCGTTGGTAAGCTGTACCCGCAATCCTTCAGGAACTAGTGTTCCTGGCCCAAGCAGTTAAATTGTCTGAGACAATATTGTTGGAGCACAACTGGTCAACTAACATCGAAACAATGCAGAATACAGACGAAACACAGTACGAAAAGAGGAAATCTTCGAAATTCAATCCATTGAAATTCTAGTAGATGGACTTATGGAAAATAGTTTAAAACTAAAACGAAATATAACTTAACTCATTATTGCACACAAATAAATAAACTTACCAGTCCGATGTCCTATTACGTAATTTCCAGAGAAAACAGAATCACTACAAAAGTGTTATCAATAGAAAACTGAATGAACGAGAGAATGAAAAACGCTAGAAATTTTGATAAGTATGAAATAATCAATGAAAAATTGTAACTTTTTTAACACAAAAATGAACAGTCTATCCAAACAAATACTTTGTAGAGTCTAGTACCATGTCAAGCCCACATGAATTATTCTGACATACAAACATATCAATTGATTTATTCTTCTTCAGTCACAATTCGGTCTTGTCAATCAGTCGCTTATTAACACATTGAGTTTTTTCATATGAGCGCATGTGTGTACGTTACTTATTCTATTTCTTATGTCCTAAGCCTCGTCGAATATCACGCGACTAAATTGCCGACCATAACACCGTTATATACAATCTCGGCACTTTGCCTATTACGTTAACGGAATACTATTTATTGGAGTCAAAAACAAAGGAAATTAACCTCAACAAAGTTGGTGACCCACAATTAGAGCACACATTTCCATACGACGTATTCTGCGTATTCTCCAATCGCATCATTAAGAATTTCACATTGAAATTACTATTACAAGCATAAACAAATCACTGACAGTCATAATAAATTCACTCTACATCGTTCTTTTGGAGTAATTGATGTATGTCTCATATTTAAACCCAAAGTGAAATTTTCATCAAACCTTTCATCTTAGTCTATTTCCGAGCGTGCCATCTCAGTATCTTTACCTGTCTTTAATCCCAGAAAGGCTGAACTCCGGTTTGCACGCTTAGAAAGCTTTTCGCTGCAAACAGAATCACAAGTCACATTACGAAATTTACTTACGCGAACTTGTTGCTGCGGAACGACGTAATTGAACAAGTGCTTGACTTCATTTCAAAGCCGGATCCAGACTGATCATACCATGGCGTAAAAAGAGAGGTCATTCGTGTCACAACTGTCATCAACTAGCAGACACATGATCAGCTCTTAGCCAATGTAGAGCTAGGTAACAACACGCCGTCTCAATTAAAACGCCACATGACAGATGGATTAGGGAATCGTTTAGTAGATAAGCGTCAATTGTATCAACTGTGGTTCAGACGTCTGCCGCAAAACATTAGACAGATACTAGCAATTGCAGACGGAGATATCGATTTTGATAGGCTAGCGGATATGGTCGATAGAATTTTCGAGTGGACTAGTACTTACTGGGTATCACATATGCAAACACACGCGGCTGACGAGATCGCCGAGTTACGACAAACAGTCGACGTCCTCACTAAACAGATATGCCAGCCCCAATTTTCGAATACCCACCACTACAAGTGTAGAGGGAGGTCCAGAAACCTTAGACGTCGTAGTCCAAGCACCACCAGACATACCATTTGTTGGCACCATGGAACGTAAGGTAGACAAGCTAAAACACGTGCTCCTCCCTGTCACTTTTCAAGCACACGGCAAAGGGCACGTCAAGCCTGACGACTAGTGGTGACCGCCGTCGCCGGCCACAACTCTCAAAACAGTTGTTTGTTCCGTCACACACAAAAGAACCGGAATACAGTTCTTAGTCGACAGTGAGATAGAGGTAGGTGTAGTGCCACTTATTACATCTTGTGTCTCACCTAATTTTTATTCTTTTGACTAACATGTACAGGATTAGCATCGACGCTAGTACTTACATTAACACTACCAGGATGACTAGTAAATGTAGATAAGGGATCTCAGAGTATTGTGTATATCCCGAATCACTCTACTCAAACACCAAAACTGGGTTTCAAACTAAGTAATATGGGTCATACTCCTACTCAGATTTCTACAACTAGTAATACTAGTAAGCAAGAAAAGAAATAGTAGATAAGGCCCACTGAACTTCTTATGATGCAGACTACTGTGGAGAAGCAAAATGAAAACGGGGGCTGTTGTTTACGAAAATGAGAGGATGAAAAGCAAATGTCCGGTGCTTTGACAGGGTTGGTGGATATGGAGGACCTACCTAGGGGAGTTGGAAAACCCTGATTCCGAACTAATGGTGCTCATGGGCTACAGGATTCTGACGGGATAAATGGCGTATGAACCAATTATTGGTTACCATCTACCATGGGACTGAATCTCCTTACGTTGCTTCAATGCCTTGTAGATCAGACCTTTAGGTCTAAAGCTCCTAGTATGGCCCCCTAAGAAAACCGCCTGCTTCAGTTTAGGCATACGGGCAGCCAACATGCAAATCAAGTGACTTGTGTGGCGCATATTTGTTCGGTGTCCCTTCGTTGTAATATACATTTGTTCAAACAAATAAATAAACTACAATTGAGAAAAAAACACTTGACCCCAAACAAAATCTGCAAGATGCGTACTCGATAATTAAGGCATTTAACCACTTTCTGAGGAAACACAAGCCATCAAAAATTATCCTTGACCCAATTTACTCAAGAAACTACGAAGTTTCTTTGGGATGATCGACATTTACCATCGTTTTATTCCGAAGTAAGCTGACATAGCGAAACCGCAAACTGATTTATAAAGCGGACGCGCTAAATCATTAGCAATGATACCGCAAGCAATTCAAGGACTTGAAAAGTTGAAAAACGACTTAGGCACCGAGGCATTACAGGTACGATGAAAGGTTGATGCACCTTTAGCAGTTATGTCCGACGCCTCTAATGTAGCAGGAGGTGCTGTACTTCAGTAACGTGTCAATCAACAGTGGCAACCCCCTGCATTGTTCTCAAAATAAGCTACACGAGACACACAAAATACAGTACGTTCGGTAGGGAACTGTTGGCTGTCAATTTAGCAATCAAACACTTCCATTGTGTGTTAGAAGGTAATTCTTTCACAATATTTACTGTTCACAAACCTTTAATTAAATCTCTGATGTACAATCATGATAAATATAGTCCGCGTGACAACACATACAAGCTTTCATATCAACTGAAGGCTTACTTATTGTAATGTCATCAAAAGAATTGTAAAACGTTTATATAAACATACTATTCCTAGTGATTATGATGATTCGACACCAATAAACATTTGTGCTAGGCTCTATGCTGGTTATGACTGACTGACTAAGATCTGAACTGATTACAATTCGGTACAGTTAAACTAAATATAGAATTATTAATCACGAAGGATTCAACGATAAATGAATAAAACAAGGAAATTCTCACCCGAATTCAATGTTAAATGGTCGAAGTAATTCATTCAAAGCAGGTAGGTTAGATCCGCCAGTGTCTGGAGTCCATAAACGTCTAGATAAACGTAAAGGCAAGTCAAAAACAGGGGAAAAAATGTAAACAATTTCACAAATAGAGACATGTATTAAGAAGGTAATTTGCCATAATACAACATAGTAAATCCACAAACGTTTAATATACCAATCAGCTTAAGTGATTCTTGATATCATCATAAGAATTGAAGTCACTTTTCTAGGAAATAAATAGAACGTTTGCATACACAATAGTTATTTGACAACAAGAGTGGAAAAATGTACGATAATTCATATAGTTACGTGACAGATTTGTATAATTACCCGATTGCTTAACCTCAACTTTATATCTGTTAAATCTACAACATCTGTTGAATTTCTAATAGATTATTGTGATAGAGAAACTGTTATTAAATAGACTATTTAAAATCCATTTCGTATTATTTTATCATAAATTTTAAAACTTATGTTCCCTTCACGATTTCAAGTAAGCGTTTGTCCCGTGATGCAGTTTGATGATTTTCTCGATGTGTGTCCTGTCCAATTACAACATTTTTTCTTAATTTCCTTCTCAGTTGGAACCTGGTTTATTCTCTCACATGGTAGGCCGTTGCCGATGGTATCCGGACAACGGACATTGAGTCATTAAATAGGTAAGTAACAATTGTGTATTTCATCAAAAACAAACATATTTAATAGGTTTTACAACCAATGTGTGCTTCAGCAACCCATTAAAGATTACATAACACATGCTTTTTTCAAATGATCACGTGTTCATATCATACACTGACTATCGAATCAGTGTCATGATTAGACAGTTTAGTTATTTTTTAACAAAAAAAGATTTGAAACTACAAAATATTTGCATAATACATAGTATAAGTGATGATAATGATGATGATGATGATAATAATAAGAGTATAGAGAGAAATAATGACAAACACATGAAGTTTAACATAATCTCACTTACCTAGTATTAGTGTCATAAAAGCGTAAACTTTGCATAACACTAGTATTATACCAATCAGCGAAAACAATTAATGATAATCCCTTTTCTGTAACATCTATAAATAATTTTTCCGCTTCATATGGAAAGAATTCTTCTTCTGGATCAATTATAAGGAATGTACCTAAAACCAGAATGAGTTGATCAATTCTATTATGTATCTGAAGGAACAGCAGAGATTGCTCAATATGATGACAAAATTTCTTGAAACGTGGAAATATTCAAAGAAATAATCTTTTCAAGAAATACATGGAATTAAGTCAAAAAGAGGTCATTTATAAAGAAATTTTTAAGATATTCTCATTTCGGCCCTTTTATGAATTTAAAACTATTTTATTTTATCCGTTTTATAAAATCATTTAATGATTGAATCCACATATCGTTCAGTCATTGCGAATAACAACCGAAAATCATAACATCTGATGATAATAACATTTCCTTGTAACCATGATGGACAGCTAGCAGATTTACGTCCTTTGATGATAATCGCCATGCTAATTTAAGAATTTAAATTGATATCATGAATGGATTAATGTTAGACTACCATTGAAAACCTGAAAGGACTGGACGACCGTTTCGACATCGCATGCGACTCCTTAGCAGTGCGCTGTCAATCAAAACTCAACAACCGTACACTGATAATTAAAGCATTCACAGGATTATGCACATCGACTGCGTGACAACATCGCATCACAATGTGTACATAACGAAGTCATAAATAATAGAGAACTGAGCAATAAATCTCTGACTAATTTCTGAAAATTTTATGATTTTCCCTGGATATTTATCTCAAGTCTCAACAAACAGTCTAGAAGCTTAGTTTACGCATCAATTGGTAAGACTATTTCCCTGAATATTAATACATAAGAAGTACATCCAACATACAGTACAGATTATAATTTTGGAAAAAAATATGACTTCTTTGCAAGTACTTACCATAATTAGACGCATTGAAACAGTCAAATGTAGAAGTTAATACTTCAATGAAATAACTTTTTCTACGTAAATGTGTGTATAAATCGAGAAAATTTGTGTGAATATGATCTCCTAACCTAGAAAAAATGTTACAGGATTTAATGTTTATTAAACAATTATCATTAAAAACACCACATTTCAAAAAGTGTATACAGCTCAAAAAAGATCATGGTAGATGTTACTAGTCGTAAAAGTGTATGATGAAAAGTACAAATTACCGAATAAAGAGTATGTAGATAATCATAATTGATTGAATGAGATGAAAACAAAGCGAATGTCTGCATTAACTGAATGTTCTGGTAAAGATAAGGATAGGGAGAATCATTTCTCTACTTCAAAATGCATAGAAACAACCAGGTTTAGGATTCATCCTTTATCTAACGCTGTACACATGGACACATTAACTATTTCATCCTATCTTTTTGTAATATGCTTACAGTGTACTGTTCGTTTTCATTATCATTAGTGTTATAATCATTTTGAAACCTTTTCAAATAAACATGTAATGAAAATTTAATATTGTAACACGGATTAACACATATTTCTCCCAGGCTGTATGATGATTATGACTGACTAACTGATATGAACGCAGGGTAGATGAAAATCTAGCTAATAAAATTTTTTAAAAAAATCAATCAGGCAAGTATGATGAGTGACGCAAGAAAAAGTAAAAATCCTGAAATATTTACCAGTCTAATGGTTCCTTTGATCGAGTCAAATCATCTTGAGGAATAAAACCAGATGGATAATGAATACTATGAAATTGATCAAAGAGAATTCGTTTTCTAAATAAGACGAAAAAAACGTTTTAAAAAGAAAGTGTGAACATGTAATAAAATAAGTAAATTTTATCATATTAGAATTAATCTGAACCAGGATTTTCATTAAGATCATGAACTAATCTAAATTAGACAATTATCGATAACCTGAAAGTATTAGATGGTCGTTTTGGCCTAGTATAATACTCAACTGTGTGCATCCACCATATCACAACCATGAATCATATTTGAAAACCTTAGATTTCGCACGTGAACGTAAATCAGATGTGAGAAAGGTACACACCGAAGACAATAGAAGATGATTTAAATGTAACACTTAGGGCATTAAAAATGAAAAGAAATTTCAGTTAGAAAACTACCTATGAATACAGTTATTTGAACAATCAGATAAAAAACTTACGATCGATGTGGAATAGGTACAATGTTTGCTTTAATTGGTAATCGTAGATTTGTGCTTAAAGATAGATTTCGAATCTATGGAAACGTAGAAAAGCAAAAATTAAAGATTGTACGTTCGAAATCATATACTTTAGTATTATAATAACGAAATAATAGTTTACCACTTTCAAAGATGATTTTTACCATAAATTTACAACACGTGGAAAACTATTAGTAATCAGGAAGTATTAGTTGGCTGTTTTATCCTATGTTGACATTCTACAGCATTAATCAATCACAAATTCATCAAGGATTTAACATGACACTTTCAGGTCCTATATTGAGTACGTTTTCTTCAGGTCAGTATATCATATAGCATATATTTCCAACTTCAAACAACATACGTGAACAATAGTTCGATTAAAAATAGTGCAAAACAATTCTCTACATAATTGATTTATTGAGTTCAATTTGAGTTCATTTGACTATCAAACCACAGAACATCTATTTTAGCCCATATTATTTTCAAAGCAAAAAATATAAGGAGTTAGTCAGAGAGAGAGGGAGTGTGTGTGTGTGTGACAAAACAATATGAATTAAAACACAGATCATGGGTTCCATTTGTTATGAATATTATTATTATCAACCACTATGTTCATAAAAGCGTAATATACAATCAAAATGAATATTATAAACTTCAAACATATAAGCAGTTACCTACATTATCATAAGATTCCACAACAAGACTGATATAACCTTCAGCAACACCAGAGAAACGTGAAGATGGTATAATATCGTCAATAGAATCAGGTGTTACACTTAGATAAACAGCTAAATATCCAACCCATGGCCAAAGATATTGAGAATATGAAATGCCAACATGTAAACGATGTCCATTATAATTAATGTATGGATGATAAATAGGCGGTTTCGCTATACGACCAACAACATCCATAGAATTTAAAATTGTTACCTTAGTGTTTAAAAAACAAGGTAGGAAAGAATACATAAACCGTGTCTATTATCAACTAGATAAAATTTACAAAGTTTATTCAAAGAAAAAAACAAATCTGTCTAACAAATACGAACTTTGTTTCGTATAAAATGTCGATTCTATTTTGTGTAACGTGCTACCCACAGATGGCAATACATTTGTTCTATCGTCCATTTTACTGCTCATCATTTTAGCTGTCTGATAGCTCTATACTTTTGTTAATAAATTTTGGATTTGGGAACGTGAAATAGTATGAGCCTAAATTTTGTGAATAGAGAAAGGTGATCATCTGGAAAAATGACCAAAATATGATCAAGACACTTAGCGGCTAATCGCTGATGTGTTCACATATTATCACGACACGACATCCATCAACAATCCACCAATCGTTAAGCATAAACAATCAACGCTAGACTGATGCATGTTAGCAAGGGTTAAAGTACAAAGTGATTGGTCATTTATTTAAGTAGTATACAAAACAAACAGGTATAGTATATTAGTTCACATATTTATAGGACACGATATACATATGTCTGTGACGAACATTCAGCCCAAGTAAATCAACGATTAAACGAGAATCGAAAATTGAGCATCTTTCTAAATTCCACCGGGCTAATAATGTACTAAAAAATAGAAATTCGGATTAATTGTAAGTTACATGTATTGGTTCTTTGAATCTTTTCGCTGTTTACGTTTACGACTGCAAAATAACTAGTCATTTTTGGGATTTGTGAATCCTGTGAGGATTACCTCGATATTCTCACTGGGTCACTCTGGGACTCATTTGTAATCGTAAACAGTAATACGAAGATTCAAGCGACCAATATCAAGGAATGAGAATTTGGCTCATTACATAAGCCAATTGCTATCTGAACTCAGTAGCTAAGTGGACAGAAAATACAATGGCGTTTGAAGCGGACAGTACTGAGTTCGAGTCTTAGAGTGAACAACTACTTTGGGATGCAGGTACACCCACCTGATGAATCCAAAATAAGACGAAACGCGCGTCTTACATCCCACTGCTAGGTAGAATCCATCTCTGCCCAAAAATGTCTAGAAAAACTGTTCTCGATTGCAGTTGTGAATAGGTAAGAATATATGATGATGAAGATTCTCATAAACAGATTAGATGCGTCCTTCCTAATTTACTCGAAATAATTATGATAATAATTCCCTGAATAATTTTTGTTCGGCATTATTTCTTCATGTCTATCAAGCTGACAATTGCCTTTCATAATTCTTACCCGTAAATTATCTTCGTCCTTCTATTACTCTCTAATCCTCTAAACCTCATTTGATATTTAGAGCCTCAAATCACTTTATGATGTAATCTTTTCTATCACTCTACACACACATATTTACCATATAACTATAAATACGAATGTGCAGCTTAAGCAAATGATTTTGTGGAAAAGGGAAATTTCTTCGCTGAATTCTCTTTATTCAATGACAATAAGCTATTTTGGGTAATCTTTTGTTTTCCATCTCTTCAGTTTATATATTGTTAGTACCCTGAAATTATCAGATTGTTAATTTGCTGTGAGGTTTTGGAAATGTAATAATTTCATCAGATCCCATAGTATACTTTGATTCCAATAAGTAATTAAGTGTTACAGTCGTCATTATTTTACAAAAGTTGGTATAATGTAGAATATTGTGCCAACAATTTAGGCTAGACCACCATGGAAAACCTGGAAGCACTGGACGGCCGTTTCATCCTAGTATGGGACTCCTCAGCAATGCGTGTCCACGATCCCGCACGAGGGACCCGAACCCAAGACCTCCCATCTCGCGTGCGGACGCCTATCCGGCATCCAACGGTGTTTATGTAACTTCAACCAATCCATCATATTGCGCAACCGTTCATTATTGTTTTTAGTGAGTAACTGTGAATTCTTTATCTTCCATGCATCTGATCCTAATATAAATTATGACATAGAAGCTCTTCTATTGAAAACAAAATCAAAATAAGCTGAAATTCGAATAGCTACTTGTCATCCCATAAAACTGGTGCCCAAGTAGGAATTTCAAAATATTACTGATTTAAAGTGAATAACTCATAAATTTTTACACTTAAGAAAGTATGGAAGATTTTATGATCGAACTATGATTACTGAAAAATCCAGCAAGCAAAAAAAGCATATAACATTGAAACAAAATGTGTAGGTTATATGATGGACCGATTCAAGTTAAACAATCACTGTAAGTAGAGAAACATTGGACAGTTGTGTACTTACGACTCTACGGATAATCAAACACAGTGGCTATCTAACTAACGTTAGTTCATGATCAAAACTATGAAATTGAACAACCTACGCAAACGCTTCACACTAATAATCATTATATGCTCACTATTGACTAGTTTACAGAGGTAAATTTTCGGAGTTCTAATGAGAAACCGTGATCAATGGAGTTCAACTATGTCAGTACCGAGTAAGCTACCTACCAACAGTGTCGGGCGATGGTTGAGTATCAATGTGAATACATCTAGGCTATAAATGTAAAGCATTGGATATCAACTCAGTGGCCTGATGACTAGGGTTTTGCTGTGAGAACTTGAAATTCAGCATTCGGTCGCATAGGTGAATTGTAGGTACATATTATTGAAAAATCTCATGTAGGAGAAAAACAATTACCTAGTACTTCCCAGTTTGTAATGACTGTCTAAGATAAATGAGTGGTTTGAGGATAAAAAATACCTCAACAAACTCTAAAAACACCTTATAGTAACAGGCATTGAATATACAATACAAAGATAAGGAAAACTCCACGGGACACAAACAAAACAACATAAAAAACTAATGTCACATGAAATCATGTTGAGTATAATCTGAGACAGATATCTGCCAGACAATTTTACTGAACTCACTTTTTTTAAATTATGTTTCCTCTGATATTTTAATTCCTTTATTTATGTTTCGAAATAATAATTGCTCATTGTGAGCATCACTGGGATACTACCCAGTTACATAAACGGAAATAGGTGGTTTTCTTAGAGAACAACTCCCCGATCCTTTGACTTACAGATCTAATCTGATCTAATAGTATAGGTGTGGACGGACACCTAAAGTTTTGCAAACTCTTGACAGATGTTATCTTATTAGATACCAATCATCTACTTGATTCATATCTTCCTTCGTGTATGTTTTCTGGTAGAACGAGACGTCGACACATTAGAATCCATGCTAGCAAAAGTATACAAGCTCTACTATACCATATCTAGCAAATATAGTATGTGACGAACAGGTTGTTAGTGTTGATCTTGTCAATAACTTTTATTCTTAAACATTCCCCTAAGTAAAAGTTTGTACAGATTTAAATCTTCTTTAAAAAGACATTTCATTTTATTCCAGGTAGTTTATATATTTAAGTTATACACAAATATACCAGTTAATCAGTTTCTTTCACTGCTTTTTTTCTTTTTTTGTAAAAGAAACTTGTTGAAATACACTATGCTGAGAATTCTATACTGTACTGAAAGTATAATATTGAATAAAGTCATTAATTATAATAAATAAATAGAGCATATTAATTGAGTATCCAGTCTAAAGATAGCATAATCTTGGTCGTCGGTCGTATTATCGTAATATGGTCTATGCTACTTATGTCGACTGCAACAGTAGTATAATGTGGCAAGCAAAAAAACATTTTTAATTTCTTATTATATCGTTATTTTGCGTACGTAACAAATTGATGTGAACTAAAGTGTAAAAGAGATAAAGAAACAACTTACATTGATGATAATTGGTTGCATGGTAGAGTACAATGGTTGAGAACAATAGGGCCACATATATGGACATTGAGTTAAATCCAAATAACTAGGCATTAGACTTGCCTGAGGTTTCATACGCTGTACAATCTGTAAAATGTGATATAGCAAAAAAGTATTTACTTAACCAATAAATTGAACATGCAACACAGTCAAGATAAAACAGGTAACACTGATTGATGTAATACTTGAATAATTCAGCTAAAAAAGAAATTTTTACATTGAAATCATCACTATAAGGAATGTAAAGTATGAATCTACTATCTTGATAATCATATGAATACTGATGACTGCAGCAGATCGAAATCAATCTACATACGGTAAAATCCAGACGCACTTAAACCAAACTTTGTCATATTCGATTATGTTAGTCAGGTATACAATGGGTTGTATAGATCAGTCTTGTTTAGTAGCTGTTAAACCTAGCCCCTTTTATGATGAGAATATTCAGTGAGTCGACATTTTCGATCGTTATTATCACCAAAAGATGTTTTATACCAAGTGGAAACAACATGCTAGTAGTAATGAATTTAGGTAGTGTATTATGGAATAGTGGCGATAATTTATCTGACAGTTGTTTTGCAACATGCTTTAATTCTGTGTAGTTTTAAGATTGTCTAAAGTTCTTTTGTTGAAATATGAAATCAAGGTAAAACCACCGTACCGATCCATGATATTTCATTCGAACGAATACTTGATAATAAATTGTACCATATCAATACCTTTTTAATAAAAGATTAAAGAATGTTTCCATTTTTAGAATAACAGGACTGATTAATATGAAGTGCATTATCAATGAGTATGGGAAAATAGAATGATACAAATTATCACTGTACTTATTGAAGCATATTCGACAAAATATCTACAAAGATGTAAACAGAATACACTTGACATGTGTGCAAAAATGAAATCCATGTTGCATGTTCCATCCTTTTTGAGATTCGTTAGCCGAATGAACCTATATTTTAGTGTTAATATTCGCATCGAAACCAGAACCCAGGACTTTACGGTTAAAACACCTAAAGAATTATCCATTGGGCTATTTACATTCAGTTGACCGCAAACTTGATCAACGCGTATGAAGGTATCGAAAACACGAAAAACACAACCAAAGCATTATCATAACCACTATTATTTCATTGGAAAACTTAAATTAATTCAGTATACACAAACTGATTATTACCTACCTCTAGGGCCGACTGAAGATTTACCAAACCAGCACCTTGTTCAAACATACTACTTTGATCAGTTTCTTGTAACCATTTTATTGAATTTGTACCAAATACACGTACTGAATCCAATTGATTTGCACTGGCTATTAAAGCTTGTTTAATACTTATTGGATTAACAGGTACAAATGGATAGTTATCTATATTATTCATATAATGTAGACTACCATTTTCGTAATTAATTAAGTTGGCATTATGATTTAAAGCAGCACTGAAATTAATGTAAATAAATATTAATGTAAAGTAATTTGCCTTTTTAAATTTTATGAAACATGAAAATAACCATTTATTTCTCCAGTTAGTAAACAGTCTTCCAATTGTGGTGTGTACTACTGATGTTGACAGATATTAACTAGTATGTATCATCAATCGAAAAAGAAATGTCTGATGACAGAAGGTTAAGATCGAAAGAAAAAGAACGAAAACAGAGAAAGATTGGTGAAGAAACAAAAAAACCAATGAAATCTGAGACGATTGATTGACATTTGCAGAAGAAACAGTCAAGTTTGAGACAATTGATAGATATTATGCAAATGAAGTATTTACTGTATGGTTCTCAGATTTGACTAAAAGATTATGTAATTTTGTGTTGAAATAGACCGGATTGTCCCCACTTACGTTCTCGTTCACTACACTATTACTTCATAATTTTGAGGGAATTTTTGAAGGTTGAATAAATAAGAAATGTTATGACTGTACATGTGATAAAAACGAATGTCCATCTGCGAAAATCACCAACATACTGAATTAATAGTTACAAAACTAACTAATTTGCAAAATTCCAAATAGTTAATGCAGCGTAGACTCTTATGTCTTAATAACCAACAATGATTTCATTTGTAAGTGTATGGAATCTTGCTGTTATTGAACTTATGAACTGCAAGTGATCAATTTATTTCAGCATACTCATATCTTGGGTGAAGTGTCTCATTATTCCAATTAAGTCACAAATATATATAAGCTAAGTTGCATAATGGTTAGCAGTGGAATCGGAAACAAACGTCTCATCTTATATAGGATTCATAAGCTAGATCCCATTGTTAATATTCATCCTATGACTTGAATCTAGTGCTTTTTACATCAAGCACGCAGTGAGTTATCCACTTAGTCAATAATTGCTTTCAACGTTTATAGAATGACATGTAGTGTGATGGAAAGTGAAATAGCTTATTATAAATAGTATACTACATAAAGCTGATGAATTGTTCCGCGAAAAATGACAGAACACAATTTGAAACAAACAACCAAGTCATAAAACATAATTCTAAACAATAATACAAAAGGTAAACAAAATGCAGATTACGAACAAATAATAGTAGTATAAGAATTGAAACAAACAACAATGAATTTTAAGCAGAGATGATGGTGGCTAGCAATGGGGTCCGGCACTTGTTTTGCACTATTTTGGACTCGTCAGCTGGATATACCTACATCCCAGAGTTCATATTCAGGGATTTGAACCTAGTACCGTTCGCTTTAAACAACCAATACAAAAATGAATTAAACATTCAATTCGTAAATCTCTTTCACCGAAACTCATCATCTGGAAAAATACAACAATCTATGAATAAGACATAGCAATATTTTATTACAAGATAGTGAAATCGATATGAAAAGAAAACATGACAGGAACAAGCACAACAAAAACCCTTACTTAGTAATCCAAAGTTTTGTAGTGTCTGTTATTATATTAAGCCCAAATACCTTATTCTAGCTTTCGGACAGCCCATTCTATTTATTCTACTTGAGTCACATTCTAATCTTGTTAATTATTCGCTTATTAACCTTGACTGTTTTTATATGAGCGTGTAGGCGTGTGTTCACTTCTTATCCCATTCATCACATGTCTGTAACTTATTTTTATGTGCTTATAAATATTGATTAACGCTTGGTTTAACGGGAGTTGGCTTATCAGCCATCTCCAGCACGTGTCAATTTTGCTTCGCTTTCTTCTCTTCGCATCGTTCCCTCGTTCGTTTGTCTGATCAACGATTCGACTTATTTAATTCCTCGATTAACTAACGCGATTGAAGTCGAGGATAGGCGACATATATATTTCAATAACAATCATTCATGCGATCTACTTGGAGTTAGATCTCAGGTCATTAAAGTGAAGAGCCCTTCGACAACATCGTCCGATCTAAATGACGACATGATAAACGACCCCACAAAAATGGTTAGCCCGCCGCCACAGACGAACTCAACGGGCTCCACAGTTTCTTAGGAAAACAAAGTAAACAATATTAATCAAATGATTACTTTCTACAATAACAAAAAAAAATAATTCAAATCATCACGAATTAAAACATGGATTTACACTCACTTAATTAATAAACTAACAACTCCTGTTACAATCGGAGATGCTACGCTAGTTCCTGACAATACACGACATTTTCCGTCTAGATTAGAACTGATAACACCAGTCGAAAAAGTAACAATATCCGGTTTTACACGTCCATAACCAGCTGGAAGTTCCTAAATTTGATCAAGATTTAAAGTGTTAGATCAAATGGAGATAAACCAAGGTAAGAATAATAAAAATGATCTGATGAATAATAATACTGCTTATACACAAAATGTTCAAAGAATATGCGAGATTCAAATTTTTACAATCTCACAACTTTCAAGATACTTATCATTTATGGTGTGAACCAAATTCGTATCCGATTCCACAGTTCAAAACATCTATAGAAGTCAGTTTTACCAGGGGATTTGTTGTCCTTCAATCGTGCTTAATAGAAATAAACGACGATCTTGGCCTTGTATCGGTTTTGTATTCTTCAACGTCTACACAGAGATAGTTAATTAACTTGGAAAGAGCTATGTTTTTAGTGAGTTGTCCTCGAAAACAAAAATCAAAACTTATTTCACCAAACTTTACTAAACAACTTAGTAGGTTCCTTCGAGTATTTATTCGACAGACCATATACAGGTATGTAGGCAGTAAAGAATTTTAACTAGATATATCCACTTATTTCTGAAGTATGTATTGAAAACCAAGTAACTCAACCTGAACTCTGAACAAAAAAAGAACGATAATTATCTACAACAAAGCAAATCAAACTAAAACATAGAATTTCTTACCCAACCAGTCATCCCACGTGAAGAAAATCGTGCAACGCGACCCAAAGCATCTACACCGCCAACACCTAAGACATCCATTTGATCAGCTGGATTACTTAATGTTCCAAATAAAGGGCCATCATTCCCGATAGCAGAAACTAATAGTATTCCATTTGCAGATAATTCTAAAACCTTAATAGTTCAATAAGAAATCCAAATGAATAAAATACCTCATTTAAAATAAGACACTTTGATTGTTCACTAAGAGTAGGAAATGTAAACATTTCATCTTATTTCATATCTCTTTCACTACAAATATCACTGATTCATATGTCAGAATGAGAATTAATAGATAGAAACCTCAACATATTTTGATTAGAAGCATCTTTCGATTACAAAAACACAATTATGATATAACTTGGCGTATAATATGTTTGATTTGTCCCTTGATACTTCTGTTATACTATGCAAGACATTATTCAGACGAGTTATTCTCATTAGTATACAGGGTTTGTGAAGATTCTTGAACTTTACGGCTTACGTAACAGATTTATCTAAGTTAGATAATCACTGAAAACTAGGAAACATTGGATAACTGTTTCGTGTTAGTATGATACTCTTTGGAAATGCCCACCTATAAACCCGACTGCGGATCGAACCTGAGACAACTAACACCAATGCCAAACACGTAACCGTTATGTTTACTGGACCTATATCCGACTAATTACATTAATTTCAATAGTTGAAATCATGAGTCAATTGAAGCTAGACAACCATGGAAAACCTGGAAGCACAGAACGGCCGTTTCGTCTTAGCATGGAACTCCTCAGCAGTGCGTATCCACAATCCCGCCCCCCGAGAGATTCGAATCCAAAACCTATCAGTCTCGCGTGCGAGAGCTTAACCATTAGACCACTGAATTGGCCCGTATCCAACGGTGTCAATATCTAACTTCAACCAATCCACGAAATGGCGCCAGCGTACACCATTGTCTTCAGTGAGATGATATCTCAAAACAAACCTGGTTGAACTTCAAGGGTCACGGCTTCTCACTAGAACTCCAGCAGTGTCTCTTGAAGTCAGTCACTAGTGAGCAGATGATTATTACTAGAAGGGGTTTTGTGGAGATTTTATTCATTTCAATAGTTGAAATCATGAGTCAATTGAAGCTAGATCCCCATGGAAAACCTAAAAGCACTGAAACTATATCCGATTATTCACATTAAGCTACAAGTAATTTATGATATAATACGAAATTCATTTCAATTGTCCTACAATAATTAAGAGCCAGTCCAAGATGAATTATTTAAAATTGTTAGTATTAATCAAACACATTAATTTATTTAGTTCCTTTATTAATAAATTCACTGTTTACATCCTATCATCCTTGTTTATTTCATTTGGTATGTGTATAAGTTAAAATAATTACACTAATCAACATGTACATACACACACATGTACCAACAACAAGATACTGTAATGATAATTAGCAATTGTAGTAAAGGTAAGGGATAGATCACTATCACAAAAACATATTAACACTGGTACTAAGAAACAAGTGATAAGGCTTTTCGCATAAACATATAACACGGATCATACATTAAGTGAACAACTGTTACACAATCTGTTAAAAATGATATCCAAGAGAAGATTGTACTTTTTACAAGTGTTTTTGATAAACAATAAATAGTAGTCATGATATTTACTGTTATTAGTGTAAGTGTAATCTCCTCTATTATTAATATTCAGAAGCGAATATAAATGATATGATCTCTGATGAAATAAAACATTCATCAAGGCTGATGTCTTCATTTATATTATTATTATTATTAGTGAATGATTGATTTGTATTACCAAAAGTGGTTAGTAGTAGTGAATGTGTACAGGATTTAGGTTGTCATGTGATAATCAACACTGGGATTTAGATATGCATTGATCTGATGAGCTTTAAATAGAACGATACATGCAAAAGCATTTTGAATATGAGTTTCCACTTAAGAGATTCAGGTGCAATGTGGCATCTTTGATAAGCTAATCAATAACTGCATCCAAATGCCCTGGTATGATTGGAGGTGAGAAGAGTTAGCTCTCCCTCTCGAAATGCTCTCTTATGGTCACGTGTTTATGCCCTTAGTCAGTGAACTGCTACTCACTGCCTTCTCGCAACGGGGGTGCTGGTGATGTTTACGAAATTGAGGAGAAACAAAGAGAAGGTTCGACGTTTTAACAATTGTAGTGGATACATAGGATCCATGTCGGAGAGTTGGAAAACCCTGATTCCAAACAAATGGTGCACATAGGTTTCAGGATCCTGAGGAGACAAATGGTGTATGAACTTATTGTTGGTGACCGGCTACCATGAGGCCACATCTCCTTACTTTAGTCCACTGCCTTGTGGATTAGGTCTGTAGGTCGAAGGATTGGGGAGTTGATCTCTAAGAAAACCACCTATTTCCGTTTATGCAACTGGGTAGTTGATGCTTCCATAATGTTGTAGCTCTTTTTACCAAGGTTTATGTGTTGAAGTGAATAAATAAATAATTCCCTAACTGACACTGGCTCGCAATGAGTAATTATTATTTCGAAACATATATACACTTTCGATATGATGAGTTGTTGTCCAATCTCTCTAGACACCACATTGATTGGATGGAATCAAATAAGTAGACAAACTTGGAAAACGTATGGAATAATGTTCAAAGTCAATATTAGAAGAAAATGATACGCTGGGTCAATTAAAGGTCGAGAAATGAGAATGCCATGTTTTAATAACCAAAAATATCTTTTACATATATATATATATATATATATATATATATATATATATATATATATATACAGGGAGAGAAATAAATGAGAGTTATTATCGTTACCGTTATTTTTTGTGTTAGGCCTAGGGAAGGTCGATAGACTATCATTTACTAAGTGATAAATAATTCTAAACTTAAGTTGGTGAGAAAATTATATTTTACAGTGGAAATCAAACCAGAGACTTCGGACTAAATAGCTAGATTCCATATGCTCTATATAAGATTCAACTACTAACCAATAGATATTTATTCCTTGCATCCTCTCTCCTTGAAGTGAAGTTTTAATAAAGAACAAAGCTATGCTTTGGATAACGGCTAGCAGTGGGTATGAGTTTCGTCCCATTTGGGAGTTGTCATGATCAAAAAAGACTGTTTCTTGTTTATCGGTTACTAAGACATTTCAATGCTGAAGAAGAAATGTAAACATACGCTGTACTTGATTATGTTACGTTGAAATCATGTCTTTTACGGAAGTTGAATATTGTTACACTTTTATATATTCCAAGACTTAAGTGTTCCTGTTTGGCGAAATACCTGTAAATAACTAACTTTCGGTTACAAAGATCAGTAGAGACTATATGTTAAAAGTGATTGACTTGAAATCCGAGAATATATATAACACAAATACCTGATATAGCGAGCTTGAAAACAGATATTCATTCAATCAGTCAGTTAGATGAATTTCTAGAAAAGAAATTATAAACGAAATCTAAAAGTCAAGATCTAACGACAAAAAATACGTGGACGGATCTGTGTCATTGTGGACGACTTTGAACCATGTCACACAACATATTAGAACATAGGTCATGATGATCACATGATAGTGGTCCAGTAAGATCGATTCGTGATTTCAATGAAACTCAGAAAATTCCTACAATCCTTTACTGATAAAAAAAACTCTTAATCTATTGTATTAAAACGAAAAATCACAACTAACCTTGTCAACAAAAGGTTTATCTAAAAAATCTGGTCCACCAATACTAAGATTGATAACATGCAATTTTCGACTAATCGCATAATTGAATGCATCTAAAAACCATGATGTGTAAGATATTTGTGTATCAGTGAATACACGAAATATGAATAAATCTGCACGTGGTGCAAATCCCCAAGGTGGACATGTAGAATCGTCATGTTTATTAAAAGAATTAATAAATTTTGAGTAATGTAAATTAGGATTTTGAGCAGCAATTAAACCTGTGACATATGTTCCATGACCATGTCGATCTAAAGCTTCAATATAATCATCAGAATAAGATCTCTAAAATATACAATGGAAGAATATTAACAAAATATTTGAAAAATAAAATGAACAATGTCAACTTATATACAACTGACTGTGATTACAATTTCGGTATTGAATATGGATTAGAAAGTTGATTTGGTATAGGAGCAATTGTAGATTTTAGGGTCACTCTCCGAGCCTTAGACCTAGAGGTTTAGTCTACATGACAGTGAAGCAGTGTAGGAAGATATAATTCCATGGCAAACAGTGACCAACACTGGGATCATACGCCATTTATCTATTCAGGATCCTGAAGCCCATGTGCACCTTTGGTTTGGAATCAGGGTTTTTCATCCTCCATACCCGCCAACCCAGTTAAAGCGTCAGATATTCACTTTTCTTCCTCTCAACTTCGTAAACAACCACACCCTTGCTTCGAGAAAGCAGTGAGTAGGACTTCCTTACAGAATAGTGGACCAATAAGGACTTAGCAGATGACTCAAGGTTACGAATGCTGGTTGGGCATGCATTTAGTTAGCTCAAAATTATTAATTTATAGAAATTGGGATTCTAATTGTTGGTTTTCTAGTTCAACAAGATTGATTGTCCTATTTGAGTCAATGTATTCAACGGAAACTATAACAATCAATACACATTCAACAACGTTATATGGCAGATCTGTCAGTTAGTAGCACTAGCTTATATCCCGGTATTAATTGAATGTAGTCAATATCTGAAGTACAGAATGACAAAAAATCAAAGTATTAATGAGAAGTAGTAGTAATGAGAACAAAAAAGCTCAGAAGCTAATGAGATTTAATTTTTTGAGTTGTACAGTGGAATGTCAGCAGTTCCGTGATGAAAGATTTTCCTAAAACAAACAGAGATAGAACCTATTATCCAGTTTCTTGGTGTCGTTCTTCCAAGCACATAGAAATTAATTGTTGGTTTAACAGAAGGACAGATTCTAAATGAATTGAAAATCGAACAGTTCATTACAGAGATCCACCATACCATCTGGAAAAAAAGTGAGATTAGACAGTGGTATGCATTAAACCGGTTGTAGAAGATTCTGAAAGCAGATCGACGTTAGACCATTTATGTGAAATAGCGTACAATTTGAATCTGCACCTCCAGTCATGAAAATAAGTCATAATAATTTGTAAATGTATATAACATTTACATTAAATTATCAAATCGCAATTTGAATGCTTACCTTTAAAGGTGTGCACTTATTCAGTAAATATTCTCTTAATTAGATAGTAATGTCAAGAAATCAATAACATTTGTAGACAAGTTCAAACTTTATTCAGCTTAATTTCATTTGAACAGTCAAGTGGTACCATACTTCAAACTGTCATACGAAGTATTGTAGATCTACACATAAGTACCTAGTTGGATTCGAATACACTTATTTGAAGCTATGAAGTCGAATCTTGACATTGATACATACAAACTCATTACCTACCTAGCTGGACGTTGTTTTTTGATAATTTATAATACCATCAGCAACTTACATTAGTTATATCTACTGTCCAATCAGTTCTTTCAATAATATTACTTAATAAAAAGTGTTTGTGATCAGATGATGCCAATCCTGTATCGAATATGCCCACACGAACACCATTACCGCACAGACCGCGAGACCAAGCATATTCCGCTTGTAACAGTTTCCATGGCTGATCAAACAAGGATAAACATGAAGAATTCTATGAGAATCTTGTATCAATCATTTTATTGAAAAAAAATACTAAAATGAAGAATCTAATTAAAAGATGACAAGTTTGGGCAGTTGATATATAACATACGCCTGTGTGTATGAATTAGTTCAAAACAAAGAGATGTTTGTGGATGCGCACTGCTGGTCGACAGTTGGGTCAATTGTCCAGGGTATATATGTATACATATGCGTAGATACTAATTAGTTTCTGTACATTATAATTCGTTTTGGCAATACAACATCCTAGTAATTCTTATTCTTCTCACTTAAGTTGAAAGTCAGCCTCGAATATGCGAAATATGTATATCAGTATTTCAACAAGACGACTGATTGACATAATTGAAGACGAGATTTATTAAAACAATGTGATATCATATTGGCTTAATATGCGATCGGTCTTAAATCTACCATTTAAGCTTTATACAAAAGTGTTGCGTATGCCTGAACACCGATTACCACGACGCGCAATGCTCAATGGGGTTAGGGATAATTGGAAGAAAGTTAGGGGCGGCCAAACCAAAACGTGGCGTCAGTGCATGAAGACACAAACTTCTGGTTTGAGCCATGTTGGTAGATGAAGACTACCCGGTTGGGGTCTGCGTGACTATCGTAACCAATGGTTGGAGACTCTTGGTGACATGGCTCAGAATCGATCACAATGGCGTCGGTGCATACATTCTCTGTCTTCCCTTAAACTAAGAGATTAAAATCGCTTCATGTCTTTCTTTCTACGAACTAATTCTTTCTTCCTGTATTATATCCTTATAAACAATCTTTCTTTTATATATTACTATCATTGAAGGGACTACTTCTATGAAATTGGTGTTCATCTTGTTGTGCTAATGAAGTATGGCAACTTGGACCGATGCATACATGTGCCTGGTCATACGTTACAGCTGACTGACTGACAAAAGTCGTCTAAAAGGGAATACTTAGGTTTTTTGAAGTTTTTGCCGTATGTAAGTTTAAATCCCGCTTTTCAGTGTATCCCAAAACCCACACTAATAATATTGATTCTGAATGTCCAGAGTGAAGTGATTTATCTTGTTTCTTAGATATTACAATTTGTCTAGTATGACAATTTTGTATAAATATGTATGTACATGTGTATGATCAGATTGTTATTTGTAACGTATTACGCCAATATGACATAACACAGTTCCTATAAACTTCACTTTCGCATAGTATTCTGTAAATTTATGAAGAAAGAATTATTATAAATATTATTATTGTCATATGATATGGATTTTTAAAGGGATAATAATAGCAGAGATTACCTGTTTTAACGGATCTAATGGTAAAGTTCCAGGAGAAGAATATCTCTGTGAATCGCCAAACTGATGTACATCATGAAAAAAAGAAGTTATAGTATTAACAAAATGGATCACTTATGTTGAATACAAAATAAACAGTAACATTCTAATGCGTTGCAAACAATTTTGAGTCAATTAGACTAGTTTGGCCATATTGAAAATATCTCATTTTTACAATAGACCAGTCATCTTTCAAATAGCTCGGTGGTAACACCTCATCCTGAGAAACTAGGCGACATGAAGTTGATTCCTCCAGAGAACAAAAGATTCTTTCTGATCGCAGGCATGCCATGATGATGAGTGCTGACTAGCACAAACCATAGTTGTAGGAGAGTTTCCTATCAATTACCTAAAACCACTTGACAAACTATCAATCTATAACAAACTATTTGTCAACAATATAATGAACATGAAGGTCATCGGTTCTATAACCACGTGCGAGGTTGTGAATGAGAATTGCCGAAGAGCCTCTCACCAGGACGATATGGTCACCCAATGCTTTCAGGTTTTCAATGATGGTCTAACTTAGATAGGTTCATGATTTTATTGAAATCTAACAATCTCCAAAACCACTTAGTGATATATAAATCTATTCTAAGAGTAACCGCTTTTAATTTTCCTCTGTAAAATGAGATAATATTCAAGATATTTAAGTACCGTATGTTTTTGTTGAGCAACCATTCTTTTTTTAAAAATTACTTCTAACTTTCTCGTCATTTTTATTATTATTACTATTATGTGATTTCAGACAGTCAAAATAGGACTGTGCATTAAAACTCTTGATCATCATTCCATTACCTACTGTATCTAATAACTTACAGGAACATAGAGATAATATATCTAAATACAATGATAAATTACAAAGTGATTATCAACTTTGAAAAACAAACATTTACCAATTTTAAATTTCGTCTTGAATCTAAGCGACTAGCTAAAAAGTAATCAAAATAATTAAAAATATCATATAGTTTTTAATGGATTGCATATTCACAAAAACGAAATTCCTAAAATAAAACCAATTTCTTGATAAAAAGATAAGTAATCTTTCTCAATATTTAGTGAAAGTAAAAAATCTAGCATATTTGAACATTCTTTTCCATTCGTTTAATGAGTTAATACGCTATATACAAGTGTAGTTTTCACAGAGGACTTTATTTTAATCATTTAAAGCTACCTAACTACATATATACTCTATAAATATAACATTTCAATAGTTGAAATCATAAGTTAATTGAAGCTAGACCACCATAGAAAACCTGAAAGCATTGAACGACCGTTTCGTCCTTGTATGGGACTCCTCAGCAGTGCGCATCTACGATCCTGCTCCCTGAGAGATTCGAACCCAAGACCTATCAGTATAACAGTGTAGCATATATATATAGCATTGTAGCTGTTATGCTGCGATAAGAATAATGAGTGGTAATTTTTGGGATCCATTTATGGACAAATACTGTACGTATAATTTTATCGTATAATTGTTAGTTAACTAAACTATTCATATTCATGTCTCTCTTATCATAAGCTTTATTTTAACCTATGAAATGTTATTATACGATTTTCCATTCTTGAATCACTACCTCCCACGTTCACAGTCACATTTGGCCAAATTTTGTACAAATGTTATTTTCTATTTTATCGTACGTTGTGGTCTGTTTGTTTGGTATATAAACTCAGTATGTTTGAAATATAATGATTCATATTGCAGAGGCTGAGGTTGGCGTTCTGGACTTAACTGGCTGAGCAAGGCGGAAAGCAGGACTAATCAGAACTCTAGGCTGCTCTCTCGTGTTTTACGCGTCCTTGGTCCAATCGATAATTCATCGCCCTCTAATCGGCGGTCCCGATATATAACAATAGTTCATCTCAAATTGTCGAATGGTAAGAGCAAATGAAATGAAAGTTAAAGCTTGAAATCAAATATTCAGTAAATATCTTGTTCTTATATGCAACATTCATTCAGTATGAATGAATGGAAAAATACTAGGTATTTCATGTATACTGAACATTGAGAAACAAAAGCGCTACAAATTCAAAGATAAGTATTCTAATTTGTAGTTCAGATACAAATGTAGCATAAGGATGAGCTTTAGTGATTCTTAAAAGAACAATGAGAAATTTTAGTCAACTATTACCAAACTAAAAAATAGCTATTGTTGATGAAAAGTTCGTTAGAAAACAAAGATAAACGGTATTATAAATATTTTACATAATTAATGAATCTACTAAAGTTTTCTACAGGCTTTTTTTCTTCTGTCTGTAAGATAGAATAAACAATATTTGCCAAGCTAGAACAATACACTTGTGGTGTGGGTTACTTTTATCCACATAAGTAGTATATAACGGTGGTCGGGCATAGGATGTATTTTAGTAGAAGGTCGATGAGGAAAGAATGGGAACGAAACGCAGTTGGTATGAAAACGTATGAACAATGAAATCTGAGACAATGGATTGATGTTTGCAACAGGAACACAGTTAAGTTTGAGATGATGAATTGATATTTTGCAAATTAACGATTTACTATATGGTTCTCAGATTTTATTGAGATGCTCTGTAATTATGTGCCGAAATACATTCGATTGTCCCCACTCGCATTCTTGTTCACTACCCACTGACATGGTTAGTTATTATAACTGGGTATACAACTGCTTACTTGCTATAACTAAACAAAAACTAATATGACTGGATGTAAAGAAAATAATAAAACTTTACACAAACAATACATCAATCAGTGAACAAAACCTATAATCTGAATACATAAAGTTATGTCTCTGATTAATGCATGTATACAGCTGACAATATCAATAGAGATTAAATAACTTCTACAAACAATTATAAAGAAAATACTGAATTACATAATTGACTCCCTTATAACATAAACATACTTCTATTGCTCATTTTATTTTATATAAAAAAACAAGTATTTGCTTTTGAATTCTGTGCAAAAATCATTTTCTTGATTACGATGCACATAGGCTAGGAAATACCAATATATATATCCTATTTTTAACAGATTATATAAAAGAAAACTAATTTGAAAAGTTTAATGTAGGTAGATGTTTTTTTCATTAAACACAAGTGTCTTTGAGGTACATACAATAGATAGACTGAGATTAGCAGTGGTATCCAAGACGCACGTTTTGTCCTATTTAGGACTCGTCAGCCAGATGTGCCTGCCATATCCCAGAGTTGATGCCCACTTCAGGATTCAAACATGGTACATTTCCTTTTACACACAGTCGCGTCATCTTTTTAGCTACTGAGTTCGTTATGTAGGTGTGTGTATTGGTGGTAATTGCGATAGCCTACCACACCGAATCATGTGGTGAAATAAGCCTGCAAACTTGTTATTAGACCGAATACTTTAACTGCTATATCGTCGTTTCATTAACTGATAAGAATATTTTTGATGTTGTTTTGTAGAACAAATTAATTGAAGGGGTTTTATTGTCATTTTGTACAAAAACACCTTCATAGTCTATCACATGCAAAAATCAGCTTTCAGTTATATCACAAGTGTTAAATCATTCCGCTTTGATGGCCTGATTTGTGACAAGTCATCATTGCAGGTTTCGTTGTCTTCATTTGTCGTTGTATTCAACCTATCCCTAGCAGCTACGAGACATGACATGCACGTGAACAGTGAGGAACATTAATATGGCTGGAGAAAAATCAGAAATGGGGATCAACTAAATCCCAAGAATGACAGCAAATTCCTAGAAGGCTAGCATTAAGACGTTATTAAAAACGCATTTGACTGAAAGCAATATCAGGCAGTAGGATTAGAATGCACACATACCAGTAGATACTCATCAAATATAGACCCTAACACCAACAGAGAGAACATTTCGATCCCTCACAAATGAATTATAATTCATTCCCATTGCACAATCTAGTAGTTATCTGGACTCACTAGCTGAGTGGACAATCTGTTGGCATTTGAAGTGGAAAGTACAAGGTTCGAGTGTCGGAAAGATATGTCCGATTCTGAACCATGCTACCAAATATCTCCAAATGTTAATCACAATTCCTGAGGAGATCCAAACCAGGTAGTCAAGATTTGAGAACAAATGTCAGATCAACAGACAGTGACATTATGAATTAATGTTACACATTTCTGTATGATTCTTATTTTCTTGTAACTTACTTTTACACCAGTATATACCAATCATCGGAACAAACGATGATTAGGTATCAATTAAAGAAGATTTACTATTTCAATAACCAAATTATTATCTATCCTTTTGAATCAACTATACCTTCAGGATTTTGTACTTGTATAGAGAACGATAAAACAATTGTTACTTTCACAATTGATTATAAATTTCATATTAAAATATCTTGAGTGGGAAATGTCCATTAATTTTAATACATAAACTACATTTTTTCAAATAATGCAAATATTGTAGTGAACAGAACACCAGTGGGGAACAATCGAATGTATTCGACATACAAATTACAGAACTTGTTAATAAAATCTAATAACCATATATTCAATGCTCAATTTGCAAAATGCCCATCAATTGTCTCAAAATGACTTCGACTTCATTGTTCCTGCATTTTCATACAAATCGTATTCTGTTTCCATTCTTTACTGTTCGATCCTCTTGTCTCTCTACTGCCAGACATTCTGTTCACGACTAACATAATATACTACTTATGTCTATATTAGTAGCACACACCACAATAACATCAAAGAACTAGCATTAAAATGCTGCTATGTTTGTGAAGATAGATCTTATTGATCATCGAATGATCATGTTACCAATCAGTCAAACTTAATTATAAATGCTTTTTTATCACAAACATCTTGTGTTATATAATGAATAATATTAATTGCTGCTATAATAAGGGTAAATATTGAGTAAGTTGTAACTTTCAGGATTATCTTACAAAGAATTATCTATATTTTTATTGTAATAGTTACTAAACACTTGAGTTGTTGTATCTTGGAGTTCCTCTAGCAGTAAGTTGTCGAATGATTCATTATATAATTACTCAAGTTATTATTATTATTCAAATATGGATTCATAATTGAATTCTCTTTCATTCATAGAATACTCATGTCTATATTATGTTTTTTATTTGTGTATGATTTACTGTATATAAATGTATAAGTTCGACTGCGAAATTGAACTTTACAAACAGAATTTGTCTATATAATGTGTTAAGATCTGTTCTAGGAAGTAGGCTTGAGAATTCTGAGTTCTAGACCTACAATAGATGTTAAGTATTGACTTAACTATCGTTGAATTAGTGTACAAGGGGAGATTATTGTGTTATAGGTTACCAGTAGGTCATTGATCCTACATAGGCAATTTAAGTGTAATAATCGATATTCGGACTAGAGAGAGACTAGATTATACCACTTCTCGTCAGAATAAACAGGCTGATCACACGAACAAGAGATATAATTACTTTGAGTACTGAAGTATTTTTAATACTGTTATTATTGTAGGCTTTCATCCAACTCATGAACTGTTGATACATATTTTTAACCATTTATGAATTACGGTGATGTTAATTAATTACATAACTGTTAGTTAGTTTTAATGTACAATAAATGACCTAGCTCAGTATCGATTTTGAGACTTGTTGTACTCATTGTACGTCGTACTATTCTAATAAACGTATAATAAATATGTGGTATTTTAAGACGAAATAATACTAAGTACATTATTTAATTTTTCTAGTGTTTTGTTTGGCAAATTAGAAATGGGAGAGGAATATCGCGTAAATAATCGATTGTTTATAGTATACGCATATTAGCTGTGTTACCATTTCTAGTAGGTATAGAAAGCAAATTCACGATAATATATGTAGCAGCAAAAACATTTTTTAGAAACCAACGATTCAAAAAGTTTGGTTACTATTTTCATAAGTTCACTTTCTTCGTGATTACCTTTGATCAATTTGTCATATACGATGGGTTTTTTTGAAACCATTTGAATCATAAAATGATCTCAGCTAGACCCCTGCCTCCAAATGCCCTGGTACGGCCGAGAGTGAATATAGCTACTTAGTCCAAAGTCTCTGGTTTGATTTCCACCGTAAAATATGATTTTCTCACCAACTTAAGTTTAGCACTATTTTTGCCCCCAAATGCCCTGGTACGGCCGAGAGTGGGGAGAGTCCGCTCTCCCTCTCCAAATGCTCTCACATGGCCACGCGTATATAGCCTCTGCCAGGGAAGTCCTACTCACTGCCTTCTCGTGTCACGGGTGTTGTTTACGAAAATGAGAGGACGAAAAGCGAATTTTCGGCGCTTTAACCGGACCCGAAACCAATGGTGCACATGGGCTACAGTATCCTGCGGGAACAAGTAGCGTATGAACCAATCGTTGGTCACCGGCTACCATGGGACTGCATCTCCTTACGATGCTCGACTGCCTTGTGGGTCAGACGTTCAGGTCAAAGGCTCGGGGTGTGGCGCCCTAAGAAAACCACCTGCTTCGGTTTGGGCACCCGGGCAGTATCACAGCCCTCACACATATCAAATGAGATCTGTGTGGCGCATATGTATTTGGTGCCTCCTTGTACCAATATCTATGTGTTAAAATAAATACATAAATAAATATAATAGCTAGACCCCTAGTGAAAACCTAAAAGCACTGGGTGGCCGTTTCATCTTATTATGGGACTCTTCAGAAGTGTATGTCTACGGACCCGCACGTTGGAATCGAACCCAAAACCCTTGGTTTAGAGTGTGAACACTTAACCTGTAGAACAATGAGACAGCACCCAATAGTGCTAATGTCTAACTTCAATTAATCCATGATCTTGCACTACCCTTCACCAGTTCTCTGTGGTGAATAACTGTCTCACACCCAATACAGACCGGTCACGGTTTCGAAAATATCAAACTGTTTGTTGAAAAAAGACCTGAATCAGTATGTAGCGTTTGTAATACAATTGATTCCATGTAAATTAAAAAGCACAAGATAACTGTTTTGTCCTACAAGCATGTAACACCCCAACAATGCACATCAATGATCTCCTCTAGAAATATCTAACCCAAGAAATTCAAGTTACACAATGAACACCTAATCATCCTTCAATAGTAATAATTATTATAAGATTTGTGTGTGTGGAGTTAGATAGTGCTCGAAAGTTCAAACTAAATCAAGAGATATTCTTAGGGGCCCATTTATTCACGGAGCCTTTAATATAGAGTCAAAGTTCATGAAGCAGAAGAGTAACGTCAAAAAAACCATTCCACGGTAGTCGATGAGCAGAATAGGTTAACATATTATTCATTCCCTTAAGCTCCAGAAGCTCATGTACACTACTGATTTAGAATCACTGTTTACCGATTTCCTCAAGTTTTAATATCCACTAATCCGGAATAAGGGCTAGACATTCGCTTCTCATCCTACTCCTTTCGTGCCCCTTCGGGTAAAGGCAGTGAGTAAGACTTCCCTGGCGAAGGCTACAAACGTATGTTCATTTGAGATCTTCCACAGTACGAGAGCAGACTCTTACTACCTTCAGTTCTATGGGAGGGATTTGGACCTATCTTCAACTTCTACTTACATTGCATGATCCGATTCTATTAATAAACAAATCACAAGTAAAAATATATATAATTAACTTACAATTGTACGGAAATTCCTCATCATTTATATCATAGTTTAGAAGAACACGATTTATTTGTTTTTGTGGTGAAACCGATTTTATTTGACTGATATTAGATAAGTATTGGATAAAAATTGATACATCCATACGACTGAGATTTAATGTCTAGAATCAATAAAATAATAGCAGATTATTTAGAGTCTAAAAATTGAGCTTTAAACGTCAGTAAAAATACAGAATGACATGATAACAAGCTAGTTAGACTTACTGATCTGTACAGTATAAAAGTAATTTGTGTAACTTATACTAAACTAAGTGTGAACACCCTTTGAACAGACATTTTATTAGAAAATTCGAATAACGCAAGAACAAGGACCGTAGAAGAATAGTACGAATTTATTTGTTATGCTCTATTCATCCATATAAAATCCAGAACTAATAGTATGAATTGTATCATTGTTACTAATAATGACAAAAACATTATACTTGTTGAGCAAGTTAGCAGCTTTCTGAACTCGGTAATTAAGTGGATAATACTTTGTCACTTGAAGTGAAAGTTGTTGGGTTCGACTTTTAATGCTAATCAACAATCCGACTATTCGATGGATCAAGATAATGTATCATATTAATTTATTCTATACAACCGATTAGCATCACTAGCGTTAGCAGTTAATGTGAAGTAAAAACCATGTGCATGAGTAGATGATTGTTTACTGAGCGGTGGCTTAGTGGTTAAGGCGTTCAACTTTCAGCTACTAAGTCTTTGGTTTGAGCTCCGCTCCACATACTTAAGTTTGGCTATCTGACTAGTATCATTAACACTCACACTTAGATTGTGAACCATATCCAAGTACCTGGGGAATGAGATAACTAAAAATTTAAGAGTGCGGAAGTAGAGTATACGCAGAAGCTGACGTTGTGGTGCGCTCTACTTATATTGATATAAGTAGTACATGACGCGAGTTAAAATCGTAATGTCTGGCAGCAGAAGACGGAGGAAGATGAAGAAAGGAAGAGCGAAAACACAATGCAATTTGTATGAAAACGCATGAACAATGAAATGTGAGACAATGGATTGATGTTTGCAACAGGAACAGTCCAGTTTGATATGATGGGTTGATATTTTGCAAATTAACGATTTACTATATGGTTGTTAGATTTTACTAAATAGTTCTGTAATTTGTAGTCAAATACATTGAAGTGTTCCCTACCCATGTTCTGTTCACTACAACGTTAGGCAAATACCATATGATTTTAACTCAAGATGACAAATAATTAAATAATGTTGTGCATAGTATTAATCGAGAAGCTAACAACTTCAATCTATGTAAAGGGTAAAGTTGGACTGCATGAAATTATTGTTAAATTAAAATGGATAACTCTTATACCCAATTTTTATGACGTAAAGTGATTTATTACCTGATATACACAAATTCGATCTACTAAGTCGGAAAACTCACCAGCTGTAGATTAATATACTTGGAATCAAGCCAAACTAGTTGTACTAAGCAGTTAACAAAATTAGTGTAGACAAGGTAAAGTTCGAACTTAAGGCTTACTGACTAAAATTTCACAACCTTAACCACTGAGTTACCGCTTTATTTAGTCGGAAAATAAAAATGTTCACACATTTTTTAAGGATCGATTCCTGATCCTCATCCATACGTAATATTAAAAAGGATACACGCATTTTATAACTTTTTGATTTTTTCAAATGTGTTTTACAGGGTAAAAATAAGGGATCTTCATCAGAAGTAAGAATATCAACTGTTACAGTTATCTACCTGTAAGGGTATGATTTTGATTGATTGTGTTGTTTGAAACGGTGTTCAATAAAAGCACTTGAAGTAGACCTACAATACTGCTTGTTCCATGGGTAGGGAGGAACTTAAAGACAATTACAAAACGTAAATCAATTCATATAATTAATTAAGCACTTTACCTTGATTACATCAAAATCACTTTTTTTCTCTATCGCATTAGATGGTGGATACCATCTCTCCATTATGGAATAATTCAATGGAAAGGAATTGAGTATGGATTTCAGAAAACGATGACGAGATTGTGCACGGGAATGTTCATAATAACTGATGATGAATTCTAGCACACAAGCAAAAATAACGATTATATTAAATACACTGTTTATTTATTATGAAAAGTGAATTAGACTCGAATTTATTCCAAAATATATTCGTATAGAAAATTCTAAGTACTGTGTTATGTATTTAAATAAAAATGCTCCTGATTCAAACAATGACAAAATAGTTCTCAGCCATAATACTAATACGTAAATATGTTATAAATGTAGTCACTTATGTCAGTAGGTAAATCTAAACTATAAGTGTAAATTCCAGTGACTTAAAATGACCAGGAAAAACCCCTAACCCATTCAGCCGATTAGAATGCAGCAAGTATGAATGAATAATACATAATGTTAGGATTGAGATTTAAATTTAGTATGTTGATTCAAGATGAGGATTTAGAGGTGGAGCATAAAAATTACAACGTAGAGTTTAAGAATTGAGATTAGAATTAAGACTAAGATATACAGCTTAGTAATCAGAATTTTATTTATTTATTTATTTTAACACATAGATATAGGTACAAGGAGGCACCAAATACATATGCGCCACACAGATCTCATTTGATATGTGTGAGGGCTGTGATACTGGCCGGGTGCCCAAACCGAAGCAGGTAGTTTTCTTAGGGGGTCACTTCCCGAGCCTTTGACCTGAAGATCTGATCGACAAGGCAGTGGAGCATCATGAGGAGATGCAGTCCCATGGTAGCCGGTGACCAACGATTGGTTCCTACGCCATTTGTTACCTCAGGCAGGATACTGGAGCCCATGTGCACCAAGTAATCAGAATGTGGAGTCCAGTATCTAAAGTTAGAATTAAGGTTAGGGTTAGGATCCAGCCGTAAAACCTAATACCAATCCTTAAATCTTAAATTGGGATCCTAAACGCAGTCATAAATTTTCAACTCCAGATTTTAATTTAAAGCCGAAATATTAGCCCTAAGCCTAGGCTGAAGTATCTGATTCTACATACAAATTAAGATATTTTTCTGTGTAAAATTATTCATAGTGCAGTAAATGAATAATAGTTATTTCGTGAGATCTACCTGATTATAGGCAGACGATATGTTGTTTCCATATATGCCACGTGACTAATGTGATTCGTATGCTTATCATTAACTAACCCTTAGAGTTCAGCTTTACCACCAACTGCATAGGAGCTGAGTCATCTTCGACTGACAATTACATTCGATGATAATAAATTACAAAAATGTTTGATAAATCATCATAAACTTATCAATTTAGATTATTGTGAGGTGTTAACACTAAATCTACGTTAATGTGCAATCTAATGAATGATACTGAGAGCGTTTGACGTCACCTATTTTGTAAATATCCGAGACTCAATGACTGGAAGTAGAACACATCAGTTCTACAGCATCCAACTGGTTATAATGGCTTTCATGCTACCGAAGTGTAAAAACTGAGAAACAACTGAAAAGCAGCTAGAATAATGAAAAAATAAACGCCGACATGATGTTGTATATCAAGCCGCTGAATAGACAAAAAATCTAGGAGGCAGTCCAACACTGAAGAACTACATCATTTTATTTTCAATGATCACGATTGGCTTTTTCAACAAGTATCGCTATGAAACGATAGTTTTAAGCAAGTTGGCCAACGCAAATATTATTGTGATAGGTCTTTGAATTTTTCAACGATTTAAGTTTATTGCAAATATAAGAGAAAAAATTTGGCATAAACATTACTAAATAGCCAGTAAATTTTATGACTGAAGCCAATAGATTTGGGAATTACATGGATTTGATCGGAATACTGCAAGCTAATACTACGAAGGTCGAAATCCTTAAAGTATTATTCCAATAAACCTACAGCTATTCGAGGGAACGGAAAATAGGATGAACAAAAATTAGACTTCATATTGACATTTTCAAGTGATCTTTATTAACTTCTGAAAATCACTTTTTTATCATGTTGACTTTATGTAAGTGATGCAATGTTTGAAAGTTACTTCCGATAGTTACGTCTCAATTGACTGGACAAGAAATGGCCTACGAACTTATTTCATCTAACGGCCCAAGACATCTATCGTGTTAATTTTTATATTAGTGCTTTTTATGTAAATGAACTTTGTTGCACCAGAAAATCTATTAATATGGCTAGTGGTATTATCTATGATTTCAAATCATTTGGAGTATCAAACAAACAACACTGTCTCGTGAGCAGCCATCACTCGCCCACATGTTATATCACCGCGTTTATCTATCTATTAACATTTGATACCCGAAAACGTCTCATTAATCATTAAAAGCCATGTCCATAACTAAAAGTAGGGAAGACGTTTGTTTACTAAAACATGATGTAGCTTCACCTCATAATTAGTGCGATAGACGGTAAATTGCAAGGAAGACGAGTGAGACATTAAAGTACCATCTTCTCTCACCGGTAATCTTCAGCTAAACTATTTAAGTAATGATACGGCCAGGATTCAAATAATAGATATTTCGCAATCTCAAATGGACTCATACAAATTCACGAAGGGCGAGGACTCAAAATATGAAACTTGATGTCATTTAAGCAAGGCTATCAAGTAGATATTTGGTATAGTATACTTCTTAGATCATGATGTGGGCAACAATCAATAGAGCCACGTTGCTAAAAATGGACCTATTGACTGTTAAGCTCACCTGACCAAGAAAACATGAGAAAATTATTTTCTAATATTCAGTTACCTGTTTCCACAACAGAAGAAACATAATCATAAGAAGGCATAGAAAATCCAAGAGTAAACAGGCATGCTAAGAAGGTTATCAAAATTGATGATAAATTCATTGAAAAAGCTTAAGTTTCCGATGTTTTAAGAAATGCCAGTAAAATTCATCATATTTTTTTGCTAGCGAACGCTACAAACAAAAGAAAAAACATTCACACAAATGAAGACAATCGTGTTTTGTTATTCTTGAAAAGTACAAAAATTATAATAAACAATCATCGAGAAACAGTTTCGTCTTTTAATCATTGACATACGTTGGTCACAAAACAACTTTGAAGAGAATTACTTGAGTCATAGGAAAACGTTGTGTATTAAAAAACATTAGACAAGATACTTTTTAACTCAAAACACTTAATACATGTCAATCTGTAGAACATTTTACAGAGCCAATAACCGTAAATGACGTGCAGTTTGTCAAGAATGACGGGTAAACAATTATTCTTCAGTCAAAGAAATGATAATGTGTCACCTCATTTACATGATGAGACTAATTTACTTACGACGCTAAAATTACAGCTTACCTACGTGCGAAGGTTAAAAGAGGGTTATATATTGATATGAGCAACTAGGATTAAGATCTAGAGTTTGGAACTAAGATTCGTCCAATCGATTCCTCAGACTAGTTCTAAGTGGCAAACATACAATTACTTTTAATTTCAGTTATTGGACTATGACTGTTAAAGTAAGGAAAGTGATTTTAGCGACCGAACTACAGTACTGTACGAGTTCCCAGGATCTATAGCTAGTATCCCGAAATAGCCCACCTTAGAAATGGTTTTCAGACGTTTGTGTGCCAAATATGTGAGCCAATGAGTACACAAATACACGCAAGCAAAAGCTAGTTGCTAGTCGAGAAAAATAAGCTTGGATATATCATGTTACATCAGAACTAATAATTATCCAGCCTATAAACTTCAAAACCAATAAATCTCCACAACGGTTTTATCCCTGAATGACAACGAAGAGCAGTTTTCACCATGTAAGTGAAAGCAAAGCATTTGGGCGAAGTCTAAACCCAGCTAGAAGTGTGTTGACCCATGAAGCAATTCAGAATAATAAAGTAACGTACATCCCAATTTACAAGTTTTCGACACGAACCAACGTCTATTCATCAATAATTCGGCTTTTCATCGCAACCTGACACCAGATATGGTTAAATATTTATTTTTTCGCGTAGTTAAGAAAAATTCAAACATAAACATTACATCTGCCACAATACACATACAAGGGTATATGAATATCGCCTAGACTCAGATTCTTAGAGACTTATCATTTCATCGGTACAATAATATTTCACATATTTTGTGAAAAAGTAAACGTTATAATATTGAAAACTTCGTTTCAGTCTGGGAGAAACTGACGAGACAAGAACAAGATAAAACTTGGTACAGCGCACTCATTTGAATTGCTGGTCAAGGTTGTAACCACTATCTAATATCAAATACTTCAAATGGTTGTGGACGGAATAGAAGAAGCTTTCGCTTAACAGGCTTCCGTGTCTAGTAGCAGGGGATCACCAATACCTCCAGGCAAGAACCTAAGTATATTAACGATAAAAGAGAAAAAATTGGTAAATCATAGTAAGATACTATCCTTAACCCTTAAGAATAGATCAAGTTGCCTCTTAAAGGACTCCTGGGAAGTTGCTTAGACTAGCTCAGCTGGCAGCAAATTCCAGCATTCGACAACTCTTAAGGAGTAGAAGTTGTGCCTGGAGTCCGTTCTACTATGTTGTATCTCTAATTTCTGGGTGTTACCCCTTAGGTTAGTGTTGGGACTAAGCCTAAGTAGGTGTTTAAGAGGATGTCCAGGAGTGTTAAGGATACTGTAAGCCATTAGCAGGTCACCTCTAAGACGCCTATACTCTAATGGGTAAAGGTCGAGTGATTGGAGGCGCTCATCGTAAGGTTTAAATTTGAGTCCCCGAACTGATTTCGTGGCTCGCCGTTGGATACGCTCCAGAGTGTCCTTATCCTTTTGGAATGTAGAAGGGAATACTATGTTTCTGTACTCTAAATGAGGACGAATGAAACTATTGGAGATTTTGTGGAAAGTTCTCCCGTCAAACTGACCAAAAAGGCGCTTCAATGTTACCAGTGCCAGGTTTGCTCGAAAGGCATTTCTGTCACAGTTGGCGTAAGACTTTAAGTCATAGGGCACCAGAACTCCTACTACTAGAGAGGAGTTTCCTAAGTTGTAACTGCAATCTGTGACGTGTCGCAGATGGACTACTTCACACTTTGAATTGTTAAAGGTAAGTTCGTTATCGTCTGCCCAACTTTGAAGTCGAGTCAGATCCTCTTGAAGTGCCTGTATATCCTCTTGGTTGCGTATCTCTCTCCAAAGTTTCACGTCATCAGCAAAAAGCAATATGTCTGACGTTACCTGTTGAAGAAGATCATTTATATAAATCAGGGAGAGAACAGGTCCTAGTACTGATCCCTGGGGGACCACACTAGGACATTCCATAGCGTGTGAGAAATTGAAGCTTACCCTGACCTTAAAATGTCGATTTGTCAGATATGAACTGAGCCAGTCAATTAAAGGTGGTCTGATACCCAATTGTTTGAGCTTGTTGATAAGACAGATGTGGTTAACCATAACAAAAGCTTTAGAGAAATCAAAGTAAATGATATCCACCTTCCCCTTGCGATCAGCGATGCTTGTGCATCTGTCCACCACAGTCAGCAGGTTCGTCAAACAGGAGTAACCCTTCCTGAATCCATGTTGTTGGGGTGAGAAAAAAATTTAAGGACAGCAGATAGTTATGTATACCATCATATATCAGGGACTCCATGATCTTTGAAGGTATAGAGAGAAGAGCCACCGGTCGGTAACTTGAAGGTTCGCTGCGTCGAACTCCTTTGAAAATTGGTGTGATGTAAGCCAGCTTCCAATTTTCCGGTAGTTTGCCTCGACTTAGCGAGTGTGAGAACATTACGCTAAGCGGTATTGCCAGGATTGAAGCTGCTTCCCTCAGTATAGCAGGGTGGACCATATCTGGACCAGGAGAAGTGTCTGTTCTTAGGTGCTGCAGGTTTCGGAGCACCAAGTCAGCGCTCAGTTTCACTACGGAAAGTCCTGTGCAGTTGCAAATGAAGCCGTCATCAGTATAGTTGATGTGGGTCGGTTCAATTCACCCCAGAGCATCCTGTCATTTTTGTCCTGCAAACTGAGAGGAAGGTCAGGGTTGTCTATGAGGTTCATGATTATGAGAGAGTCATCACGGCCCGTTAGTGTTTTCTCAGGTTTTCCGGTGCGTTCAGGTTCAGTACGTTGTTGTTGTCATCATTGGAGCTCGTGCGTGTTCCGCCGATGGTAGACCTATCAACATCCCTATTCTTGTTTTCATTATGTGCCCTTGTTTGTCTACCTACTTTATGGCTATCTTTATCCACGTTTACTGACAATTTATTCCGCAGACCTGTCAATAGAACAATGATGTTGCTCAGCAATAATACAGCATCCGTGCTGCACGTAACACATACCCACTTACGATCCGATTTGCTGAGTCTATTGTAAGCAGTCGCCGTGAGATCTGTGCATGTTTCGTGGAACCAACCTTTGCAGTTGTTGCACTGTATGCCGGTTGTAACAGCAAAACGGCATCCAGGTCGTTTACATGAATTTTTCATGGCTGTATTGACGTGAACTGTGTTAAAGATAGTATCAAAACGTTAAGACCATTAAAAATACACTAAAAAGCACACTAAAAACCGGAAAAACGTATAAAACGGATGAGATAAAATGAACTAGCCTTTACGTGAAAAGCTGAAGAAAAAACCGAATAGTAAGCTAAGGCAAAACCACAGTTGACTATTAAATTGATCGAAACTCAAAAAAAGTAATCTACCTAACTTATAGCTCAGAATGGATTCTTTTGATCGGAAATGGTACTTTTGTTGCGTAAGAACACAGCAAAAGTTTGAGAAATGCAAACCACGTTAGGACTAAACTTCGCGTTCGAAAAACGCTTTGAAAAAATAATTGTTTTATTTGCACTCATCTCATTATTTCTCTACATTGTCAAGTCTCCAACGGTAATCAATAGGATACGGTCTGACCATACTATTGCATTAGTTCTGGTTTGTCTGGCAGTTATTTGTTGATCGGTACCTCGTAATCTTCTTCCTAAAGCAGTAGGGTTTCTAGAACCAATGTCTGTCACATAACTACTGAATAAAATCTCGGTATAGTTGTTATGAGTCGAGGCAAGCCAACTGAATTTGTAAAACCTCTTACTGATGTTACCGTACGCCTTAAAGTCCTTATTATTTTCCTTTGTGAATTGCCTGGAAACTAGGCCACATACATGCTGGAAGATTTCACAGTTATTTGAAGGCCTATGATTCTTGAGTAATAATTAACGTGTTCGTCTCAGAACTACACGGCCGTTTGAATCAGCAGCTTTCATTTACACATTTATCGACTGGTTAGTTCAGGAGGGTAAGCTTACTTATACATTAAGCGTAGACAATTGATGTCACGGCGAATAGCCTTATGTGGTCCGGGAACTACTGAAAATTTTGATAAGCAGTTCAGAGGAAGGTGATATCATGGAAATAAAACGTTTCATGGTTTGTTTGTTTGTTTCTACGACAAATAATAAATATTATCCATTCACTTAGCCAGGTTTATACCCAGTAAAACCGATAAATCAGCTGATTCATGTTGTATAAATATTTTTTGGACGCTGAAAAGTGACACAGATTTTGATGATCATCCGACACAACACACCTGCACAATATCAAAGAGGAAAGTAGAAGCTCATTTTCTACCCCAGATAAATATGCGGTTATTAGGCTTTCTCACTGGCAACGAAGAGGGCTTAGAATTAAAGTTTTGGCGAAGTCAGTAGACCCAGCGGACCGGAAGATTGGACTATTTACATCGAAAGTCACTTCAATGCCATAATGCTCACTAACACTATGCCTATAATGTTAAGAGGGATATTAATTTCACTAACATCACCGTCTGATCATACTAGGGTAAGACAGCAAGCACTAAACAATCAACGTTAGTATTATAGCCAGATTATGCACCATGGCTCGCTGAGCAAAGGAAACTGCTACTGAACAGCCGTCTGGAGCATTCTCTATGAAGCCATCAGAGGACTTACTTCAATAAAAGTCTTAATCCGTATCCTGGATGGGCAAACGATCACTGAGATCTTCAACAATATATTGAACCTGCAAAACCAGATAGAACTCACCAAAGGAATTCGATCATATCTAATAATGCCAAGGAGTAAGCATTGGGTAAGAGTGAAAATTAATATAAGGTATTTTAAAGCATTCCCTACCAAACATTATGGTTACATCGTGAAAAAAGTTATCAAACTACAATGAAAAACTTAAACAAGGGAACATTTGTTGTTCTTTAGACTCAAGACGGGACAACCACCAATCTAAAGCTGCCAGTGCTTTTATTGTGTCCTGAAATCTTAGTGTGATTTTCAGCTCAACCTACTCACCTAATCATTGGTTTATTTCAGCACCAATTAACTTTAAGTAGCTAGGAGGTGAGTGATCATGGGATATGATCTACTCGATTTTCTACAGAAAAACAGAAACGATTTCACCCGCTCTACGCGGGTGGTGCTGCTTCCCACATTACCAAGTGTCTTAAAGCCATGTAATCATCTGTATGAATGAGCTCAATGACGCGAACAAACTAGCTCATAAAGCGTAACATATTTTTAAAACTTCAAGCCTTGTGTAATTAAGTAAAAAATTCCCTAGTCCTGATTAGTGTGAGTGCAAAGCCATAGAAAATCAAGCAGATTAACCTAAAGTATTAACTGAAGCAGATGATTTTGACTGATATATGTCGAGGTAATACGTACATTATGCACATATGCCGAAAAGAGACTGTTCAATTACAGTCCTTAACATCAATCGGAAGATTCAAGTAAGTAATATTAAGTGAATTTAAACTTCGCTTCATCGCACAAACAGGCGGCTATGAGGACTCAGTAGCTAAGTGTGGATCGAGTCCTAGAGAGGGCAATAACTCAGATGCAAGCACATCTAACTAAGGAGTTCAAAATAGGACGAAGCGCGTTCTGAATTCCACTGGTAGCCACTATCCATCTTTGCCTTCAGTGCCAACTTCAGTTTAGTATTAACAGACGCGTCACGAATAGTGCCGGATGCAGCTACCTGGGACTTCATTTTCAGATGGACGGTATGGTAGTACCCAAATGTTCTTCTATCTTTGACATTGACTTATGATACTTGAATGACCCAAATTTTTCAGAACAAACAATGTCAATCACCCCGATGACATCAGAGCTAATGTGTTGTACGATTCTCAATTCTCAGGAGCGTGAGTCTAGACTAATACTATATAATGTCTGTGTCTTTTCAGTGCTTGAATATCTTCTGTATTTACTCATTAGTCTTCG